CATCTTTCGTGATTTCGACTATATATCTAAAGTAACAAGTTGTTTGTTCGACGAGTAGTCGACTGGGTACTTGATGAAGTGACTAGTTTATTTCAATTACTAATAACTACAGTAATATTGAACTTATACAGTTTGTCGCAGAAGTCCTCGTCATGAAACGGAGGATTGTTCAAGTCGTAATAGTTATCAGACAAGTTCTTTACTTTACTGAACTGGCAATGAATTTACGTCGGTGGTAACGTTTTTGCGTGCAAAAATCGGATGAATTTCGCACCTGGCTCCATTGCGCATGAGTAAATGTCATCTCGCATGGCTGCCAGGCCGGTACCGAGCGTTGACAATAGGCGCTTCTTGTTGGCAGACCCGGCAAACACGACGGTGTTGCCAGATTTCGCCTAGCATCCCCCGCAGCGTTTGGAACCTTATTTTTTAAACAACCCTCGTATTTCCCGAATAATGGCAACAACGTTATGACATTTCTTCTGCCCAGCATTTGCTTAGCGAAGTATCCACAGTGAGAAGAAACACACGTAATGAAAAATATTTACCTGAAGCTTGGCATGTAAGGTTGGCTTCACCTGAGACATAGAATCCTATAGGACACTGGAAAATGGCCATGTGTCCCAGCCTAGTCCCTTCAACTCTCACACTTAGGTGCATGCCAGAGACAGAGATTGGTTCGCAGTGGATGGCTGTATGTGATATGAGAAAAATAGATTTATTTCGAGATCATATGGAACGAGTTTAACAAAGGCATGTATTAACATTATCATATCGTCATTTTACTTTTAAGGTCTGTAGAGCCTACGTTTTCATGAGCAAGAAAGACTGAGTTACGAGGCGTTGGCGTAGCTTAAGATTAGAAACTTAACCGAAAGAAATATTCTTATTGCAATGCGAATCTATTAAAGCTCAATTTCATGAAAACCTAGGACGTAAAAGTAAAATGACGAAACATACTCAGTGTGACCTTAGAAGTGTTACACCCAGAAAAAAGCATTTCGTCAACTTGATTTTTTGGCAATCAGCTAGTATTATTATCTTAAAAAATGCTTACTCGTTTCTGTTGAATTTCGGCAATATTATTAAAATTGCAATAACACTCTTTCGTACAATTTTTTTTGATATGAATATTAAAGTAACAAAAAAGTAGAAATAGTCGCACAAAAAACGCCTGACGCTGATTCGTCAACCAATACAATCGTCTTTTGTAGCTCAACCAATAGAATAAAGAGGATTCTATTTCATCGCACCTAGCGCAAAAAAACAGGCAAGATTAGAGCGAACGCTCGTATCAGTAAACAGAGTTAGTCGTACAAAAAATTCCTTATGGTATTGGTTGACCAATACGATCATCGTTTACAGCATATACGTACGCTCTGTTTTGTAGGACTCGCCAATACAGATCGAATTTCATTTCTTCACACCTAGCGACGCCACTGGATATAATAATTTTAACCTATTTAGGGCTGAATTAGCCTCTTAATACAACAAATAATATTGCCAAATTTCAGCAGAACCTAGTATATACAGGGTGACTTCGAAGTTGAGTCATTTATTTTAACAGTGAGTAGATCTGATCAGAAGAAATGTTTTTTTCCTTTACCATTTTTCTGGTAAAATTAAAGTAACAAAGTTATAGCCCTTTGAAAGTTTGAGTACCGCCGCCCTGTCTCAATAATAATATTATGTGCTCGTGTCTGGCAACAACGGATATAATCCGCCTTATCCGTTCATCGCATCGGAAACAAAAAAGCGAAAGAATTTGGAACGACGTTTTTACAATTATTTTCTTCAGTTGTATACAGTCAGTGTAAGTCGGTAACGCGTGAGTGAATAGTGGTGTCTGTTGCGTGGCTCAAACGAAATAAAAAATGGCACATGTTTATGCGGATCGGTTTCCCAATCGAGTGCAACCAACCCCTCGTGCCTTTGTTAATGTAGTACACCGGGCTCGTGAATCAGGTGACTTAAGACCTCACAGGGGACGGCATGCCGGTGCTCCAAGACCTCACGATCAAATACAGGTCCCACTGAAATACTTGTCGGGAGGATACTTTATAAAACAAGGTAATTTTTTTTATTTTACACACATGTTTTGGTTTATCTTCCTTCTACAATCATTATCTGAAAATTAATGACTCAACTTTAAAGTCACCTCTTGTATTTTGAAGATCTTAATAAAAAAACTGTTTTTATTTAATTAAATTTATCACCCGTGTTTATAGAAACTTTTTTTTTATATATTTTTTAACATCATCTAAAATATCTCCGTCTATGTTTCTAACACCCTGTATACCGTTTGATGGAACTCATCAAACCGAACAAAAACATGGTCAATATTAGAATTTATTGTTATTTCTTTATATCCTATTTTTATAGTCTGTTTAAAAATAATAAATAATGATTTTTTCAATATTTGTTTGTGTTGTCAGGGTATTCGTATTGATGGAAATGATAATATTTTGACTTTTTCTTCTTTATTAGAAACCTTTTATTGAGGTTAGTACTTTTGATTCCTTTTTGTTCTTTGTATAATTTTTGGTTAATAGTAAGAGTAATAGTTATTTTATCTTTTATATTTTTTATCAATTTTAGTTTCAATTATACAGGGTGTCCGCAAAGTTGGGGTTTCCTTTACACGACGTGTAGATCTTGAAAACATAATCAATTTTTCTCAGTACCATATACACCAATGTCTTAAGGGGAACCGAGATAAAAGGCTCTGCAACATCAAAAATATCTGAATACCGTCCTGTAGCCGCGACATCCCCGACTGGTACTAGGACACTAGCTCAACCCGACGACAGAACTGGGTCGGGGTCAGTGTGTCAGGTCAGTGTGCAACCTTCAACCGACGGTTACGGTCACGCGTGTAGAGGTAATCGCGTAGACGAGAATCCCTCAACAAGCACTAGAGACGTGGCTAGAGAAGTGCAAGTATCAAAAACTAAAGTGTGGCAAACGCTGCGTGAAGAGGGGCTGTATCCGTTTCACGTCCAACGTGTACACGCCCTTCAACCTGACGCTTTTCCAGCAAGAGTGCGGTTTTGTGAGTGGTTGTTGCATCAACATGACAATAATCCGGACTTTTTGAAGTGCATATTGGTGACAGACGAATCTACGTTCACGCGTAATGGGGTGAATAACTTTCGCAACACTCATGTTTGGTCAGTAGAAAATCCGCACGCTGTCCGTCGGGCACATTTTCAACAAACATTTTCGGTGAATGTTTGGGCTGGCATGGTGAACGGTATACTCATTGGACCATTTATTCTCCCAAATCGATTGGACGGGATGCAATACCTAGACTTTTTGCGCAACATTTTGCCTTCCTTGTTTGCCTGCGTCTGCTCGGTAGCGCATCAGCTGATTTCATTTTCTGTTGGAGCGGTATGATTTCGGGCAGAGACGTACTTAGCCCTTCTCGTCAACTGGAGAGTGAGTACTTTTTCCTTTATTTTTTTTTTACTTGGTCGCCCTCGTTTCACTACACATTACCTTTGTTATTTCAAGGGTAGTTGCTTCTGAAAAGGAAAACCCCAACTTTGCGTATTTATTTAAACATTTCTTATATTTTGGGCAGTGATTTTTTAATCTTATTGAGTTTTTGAATTTGAGGCTGATATTGTTAGCAAGAGATGGAAATGGAAAAAACTATCTTTGGTAATAGTAACATAACCAATATACACTGAGAACAAAATTTGGTTGACGGCTTGAGTTCATTGTGTACGAGAGAGTACTCTGTATAGACACATTTGTTAGAAAGAGTTAGAAGCCGGCAATCTGCAGCGTTGCCAGTATCTTACACCAGTTCGTTGAATTAAGATGCATGTTGATAGAAACTGTTTAAGTTGTTCTTGAATCTGGTTTCTGCACTAGAAATTTGCAGGGTCTTCTGGACGGAGATATTTTAGAGGGTAATTTCTTGTTGAAAAATATAAAAAAAGTTCCATGAACATGCAATGATACGGATAAATTGAAAAAATATATAAGTTTGTTGTAGTGTACTTTATGTCATGGTACCTATTATAAAAGTTGGAATAACACTCTTTCCTAGATTTTATTTGATTTTTTTGTTTTCCAAAGCACTTGTGATTTTTTTAGCAAAAAACAGTAAACCAATTTTGTCCAGTGACCTGCAACAAAACGGTTTTTATTTTTTTTTTCTCGAAAACGAAATGAGATACGAATAAAATGCAATATACAAAGAAGTTGTATTCTTAGATGCTCAATCAAACAACAAATATTATAGTTACAAAAAAGGCAGTGGCGTACATTTTTTTGCGAATAACATTCGCTAAGGTGCTCCCCGTTACGACAGTGGACCTAATAATTTTAGTCTTTCCGGGGCTAAACTAGCCTCTTGTTACAAAAAATATTATTACCAAATTTCAACAGAATTGAGTAAATATTTTTCAAGATATCTATAATAATTTTTTAAATTCATCTCTGTGTATCTTGAAAATTCCAGAACCATCTTTATAGAAACTTTTTTTTCATATTTTTTTAAAATATCTCCGTCTATTTTTCGAGCACCTTGTATGTATAGTTTTCCGAAACACCCTGTATATTTGTAAATGGCAAATAAAATAATGGAGCCAACGACCTGTGATAAACGTAATTTTACATGGAAGAGGGTATGTTTATAAAAATGACATAATATTTGTGGCACCATTCGCATTCATTTTGTGTACTTTAAAAATTTCCACTGTGTGAATAACACTAATTATAATTGTTGTTGTCACAAAAAATCGCTATGCATCAACCATATTATCATTTAAGTCAATTCGCGAAGTTCAAAGACTTCGGTAATTTATATTTACATATCATCGCACATGTGTATGATATAACTCGCGGATTATTATTTGTAAACTGCGCTATCAAAAATTGCAAAATGTGTAATTAAGGCTTGATTTTACTTGATTATTCGCACTCATTAATTTGAATTTTGCCATGACCTTTATGCCTTATATCTCACTTCCCACACAAAAGCGAAGAAGATTGTAATTTTTTCACCTAATAGTGAAGCATTTTAATTCTTGTAAAGCACCTTCAGAAGATTTCAGCGTCCATTGCCTATTCTGAGACCAACAACGACCGCAAAATTGTTTTTCGAGTCCTAAGTACATTTTATTACTTGATCAAAAATGTGCAAATTGTAATCATTCTTACCATCTTTTGAGTAAAATATATCCCTAACAACTTTCTAACGCTCATCCAAAGGACGGGGAATGCCTTTCTACGTTTTTTTTTTCAGAATTCAGTAGAAAATAATCCTGTTTATTGAATTATACATACAGAGTGTCCCAGATTCGCGTCTCTATACAGGGATCTCGACTCCTGTTATAGCAACAGCAAAGGTTAAATGGGGAAAGTTCTAGAGGAAACTTAGGGCTTTCGATAGCCGGCCTCAGATTTACAATAGGTCAATTGGTTTTGGAAATATCGGGGAAAAACCGAAACGAATCTGGGACACACTGTATACTTACGCTTATAGCTTCCCAAGTGCACTACAGCGTATCGAAAATATTCGGTGGTACGATGATACGAGCCCTTTGTTATAAGCGTCGCGCAAGTTCATTCAAATTCAAAAAATTGCTTTGTTTGCGAACATATATTTTGATAGTTTTGACACGTTCCAATATTACCTGCTACATGTAGTGTTACGCTGTTAGTTATTCCCCTCGGCGTCGCGCAGGTGAAAGTTCCAGAATCTTGTGGCTTTGCGTAATAGATTGATAGTCTGTATTTCCAATCTCGCTCTTCTGGCGCGATAGCCCAACCTGAGAATTATTTGGATTTAATTGAATATAATACAGGACTGTTTAAAACAGAGCTACTAATTTTTAGTTCTTTTAGGTACATCCCCCATGAGGATTGGGTTATCATAATTAGTATATTTGTCATTATAAATTGTGACTTGATTCTTTTTTTTCTGTTATTGGTACTTCGTGCTCGATGACCAACTGGCCAGATCCTGTCAAGTTCAGTATTATGCTCTAATAGAACATGAACATCCATTATTCAACATTATATTACCACTATACTATTCCTATTATAGTGTAGCGTTTTCCTGGGTTCTTTTGGGTGTGGATTAAAACACTGGATTCCACAAAAAGAAATGCACTAATTTATTTAACTTGATTGAACATTTATATACACCACTATTTATGATGCCATTGACTGCACTATACTCCACTCCGCTCTGCTACTCTACCGTATTCAGTACTCTGCTTCCATCTACCGGTCGCCGAGTTATATATAGTCCCCATTTTTGCTTCGAGAAAGGTCTGGTGAACCACAAAGCGACATCTAGAATATTGGAGGTCACTTCGCGTCGATCTAGCACGTGAGTCACTGCCACGTCCTCACAGACGCCGCCAGGCGGCTTGTGCGCTCGTGGTTCGCGTAAAAGCAGAGATCGGCAATTAAGCTCTGGCGAGTAGGAGACTCGCCCAACAGATGGCGTCAACAGTACTACTTGTCACAATAGTTACATAGAGTATGCGAACACAATTATATTGCTGTTTCTTTTTCGAATCCATACTTTTTAATTATTTTTTTCCGTTTTGCACTTGTTTTCAAGATTGTTTCTTATTTTAATATATTTGTTGCTTTATGCTGTTATATTTCTTCATTTTTTATATCTTCTTGTTTTCTGCATTTTTTCACAAACAACTACTGTAATTTCCATCTTATAATGTTACATCTATTTTCCGACAATGCTTGTATAAAAGTTCGTAAACTTGCTGGTTCTCATAACTGAGAATTGATTCTAAAATTAGATGCTTAATTAATCAATTAATTTATTATTGATTAATAAATTAATTCTTAAAATAGATTGTGAATCTTCCGATATCCTGGACTATTAATTGTTGCATTCTTTGGAACTGATTGATGTGTCAGAGTGATACTGATCGAAATGAAAGTGATTATAACAATCGAATGACTTTGGTCAGTAGTAAATGGTTTCTACTACAATCTGAACAGGGCAGGGGACATAATATAAAAAGAACACAATTATTTGCACTGATCAATTTGATTAGTGCAATCTGAACGAAAGAATACAACAAGGGAATAGGATCTATACGCAGGTTTTTCGGCACAAATGTTGATGTACGTTCAAAATATATACGTTCTTATATGTACTCGGTGACAGTAGAAGTGTTACACCAAAAAAGAGACCGTTTTGCCACTACGTCACATCGTTGACCAACATTTTGGAGGAGATTTTTTCCATACCTTCCACGGTTAGTGCTTCCTCTGACTGCGGACCACTGTCGTTAACGTTTGAACTGGTACAGAGAACGGCAACATTGGGAGGCAGAATAGCGAGACTACCTCATTACCAAGAAATCAAGTGAATAAATTATTTTTTTTGTGTAACACCGAGTATATATTAAAACGTATATTTTGAATGTGCATCAACATTTGTGCTAATTTAGTGCCAAAAACCCTGCTTATAGATCCTATTGTATCTCATAGATGCTATCATCTTCAAATTTGAATTATTTTCCTGCTTATAGACCCCTGTCATCTGAAGGTAATCATGTCATAAAACCTTGCTGTGGTTACAAAAATAGTGAAACAAACAAAGCAGTATAATTATTTTTTTACAAAATCTTTATTCCTCGTCCATAAAAATACATAGGCAGGAATAAGAAACATACCTGATAAACAAATATATCTGACAAATAACAGTACACTAAAGAGGAATATTACCTTATAATTTCTTCAAATTTGCTACATAATGATTGGATGCTAATGAAGTGAGTGAGTATAAAGATTATTGATAATGCTGCCATTTGTAATCAATTTGATTATGCTGCACAAATTTTGTTTTAATTAAATATAATTAATTAATATTTTATTTTTAACGGCTGAGAATTATGTTACACAACTATAATTTACTTAATAAGATATTTCTTGGTTTCAATATGATGGCTACAATAATTTCCTTGTTCTCAGGCCATCCAGACTGTCTGTAATTGAATCAATAAGTGATTTACAGCATTGATTTAGCAGCATTTTGAAAAAAATTCATTTGATTCTCAGTCTCTAGTATCAAAAACAAAGTTTCTACATTCTTGATACATCCATAACAAACTCAGATCATTAGACAATTTTAGGATATTTTGCATGATTCCAAAGAAATAAAATATCAATGAAGCAAGGCCTGAAAATAATGTGTTATTTTGATCAATATGCGAATCAATGTGAGAAATAACTTTGTTACAGAAGATGATTGAAAAGAAAACGAGTATAAAGAGTAGGTTTGGTTGCAAAATATTATCCCCCAACCCCACCCCTCCCCCCCAGAGTAATTCATATATACCAAGGTAAGCAAACTTTTACTGCTCATCTTTCTCTTTTTTCATCTCATGCATTTTTACTCAGTTTTGAATTCCAACTCCACAATTTCAACATTTATCTTCAGAAACCCACTTCAAAGATACTTTTTATTTTACACAATAACTTTTATAATTTATTGATTTTCTGTGTCCTTGAATTCATCATAATTACTAGTACTAGTACTAAAGCAATTAATAAAGGTTCCAGTGATTGTTTATTATATCAACAAACTTTTCAAGAACAGACATATAAATTACTGTAGAAAATATTCATGGTTTTATGTTACTCCCACCCAACATGTATCAGTACAAAGAGAACAACTGGGCATATGAAAGATAAAGGCTTAATAGAGACAAAGGATTCACATTTTTTCCAATAAATCATTTTGATGTTCTATGTAAAACAATTCAGTTTTGTAATTTGTTTTTTTAGATATACACCAACATTTATATTAAGGATTCATGCAGGATGATCTTGGGATTCAAATTGAAAATTCTTGACATGAACCTCCATATAAATGGAATTGTATTACGATCTAGATCTGCCTTTATTAATATAAATGCTTTTAATGTGATTTATATGCAATTTGAGAGCAACTTTCCACCAAATTAAATTTCATCTGAAAGACTGAAAGTAAATGATCCTAGACTCCATCCAATGCAGCATTAACAATAAGCAATTTCACTAGTTTGAGAATATGATATAGGAAGTATGTTAGTGCACAGATGACTATTTTTTCAATACAGAAAAAAGTATGAGTATGATATATGAATTTCTGTGGAAAGTTTCAAATCGAAACTAAGAATTTTTTTGGGATGATTCAAAAAAAGGTACTCTGCTCTAACTGCACCATTATTTTCAAGATCCTTGATTATATCTCAAAAACAGGCGAGCAATCTTGACACTGCACATTTTTTCAAAAAAATGTAATGCTTTTGTTTCAATTAAATACACATCTTTCATATGCTCAATTTTCTTGTTCATATCTTAAAAAGTATATAAGTTATGAAGGAACTATGATGTACATATGTTCACATTAGTGTGGATAGAAGTGTTTTTATGTTATCAGATATGAGTATATTTAACTACCTATAAAAGCTGTTGGAATTGAATATATAAAAAATACAATTATTATGAACAAATACCTTTAAAGGTGTCAATAATTCCAACATCTTAAAACATTCTTAAAATACAGTGATGACTTGAAACTTGTAATACTTGGAGGAATGTACAGTACAAAAATATAAAAATATATACAGAAAATGGTCACAGTTCAAGTTAAAAAGACGCACACGTAACACTTATGCACTTGGCAGAGACAATAACAGAAAAACTAGATCACAGCAACTCTTGTTTTTTTTATATAAAAAACTCGTCGGAGAAATTTGTAGTCCTACCGTGTGAGTCTCTTGAGATTCCTTTTGCTCTGTTTCGAGCAAACTGCAGGCTGCTTAATTTTCGGCGGACTTGACGGCTCCACAATTTCAACTGACTTTTTCGTATCCAGCGGTACGACTGGTAAAAGGGATGTGCGTCGTTTACTTTTCACGCTTTCCTTTCCAATGTTCGCATTGCTAACTGCTAAGATTTTTATCTCGTTAGATGAAAGCATTTTGGTTTTCACGGTTCGTTTCGGTGTGACTTCGACATCAGAATAAAACCCTGAAGATTCGTATTTGCTTGAGGTAAGTGAGCTTGTGAAGAATGAGGTACTGCTGTCTGTTGCGTAATCACTGGTGGTGCAATTGCTGAGATCACTCAGGAGGTTTCTGGGCTTAGGAACATTTAATTGAGCATGGCGGCAGTGATCTTTGAATTCCTCAGGATCATTAGAGAAACTGTTGCACTTTTGGCAAAAGATGTAGCCACACTGGTTTAGGTTTTGGCACTGAGCAATGTGATTTTCTACTACAGATGCTTTGTTGCATCTTGGGCACTTGATCAACGATTGGTTTTTATTCAAGCAGCTTGCTATTTCACGAAAATACATGTGGTTTTTCGATCCGGGACTGGCATCTTCATATCCTGAATCCTTTTCAGGTGATGACGGTGGAGTTATTTTATAATTCTCTTTGAGCAGCTTATGCATTTGTAGGTAGTTGTAGTACCTAGTCTTAGCATCTCTATTCACTATTATTGCTTCTTTAAAGTGCTTCGATGTCTGAGATAACCGATACAGGTCACCATTAGACAAATACTTTAGGATCTGCCGCATTACTACAGCGTTTGAAAGAACAGATGTAAATGGATCCTTGTTATGCTGAGAAAACAAGCATCTCTTTATATACGAAGCGTTGACTTTTTGAGGTGTTACAAACTGCCTTCGGGCAGGATCCAGGCAAGGAATTGATGGGTATAGGATATCATAAGCATCCTTGTTTAACGGTGACTGTGATACGAAGTTCTTTGCAGCAGTGCTAGACGCAGCCCGGATAGACTTGATTTCCTGTTTATCTGGGGTGTTCGGCAGGGAACAAAACCGCTTGTTACTACTCCTACTTATTTCCTGATCCGTCGGTGTTTCTTCGAAAATCGTGCTTTCTCCATGATCAAGATGAAAGTTCTCGAAATGGTTGAATAAAGACTCGTTCAATGTACTAGAAAACGGTGGTGTTTCCGGACACGTTACCTCGCAATCTTCCAAGTCTGTTGCCTTTCGTTTCCTCTGATTCTTGATCAGCTTCGGAGTTTCTGCTGGGGTGCTCTGGAACACTGAAGGATGCACAGCTGGGGTGAAGTAGCAGTCCGTATTCTGCGAGGCAACAGGTGTCCCTTCCATTTTTGATAGACGAGCGTCAATAGAAATCTCCAACTAGCCCGGGATCATCACCACAAAACTACATCTACACTTGCTAAACGCTTGAAATGTCTCCTTACATTTCACCGAAAGACACCAAACGGGATTGAAGATCGAAGGCAAATCGAAAGAGGTTATGCGACGTTGCCAAGCAACATCCGTAAAAATGTCACATGTATTCTTCGGTATGTACAGGGTGATCATGGTGAAAAAACTGCGGTCATAAGACGTTGGGATGTCTAAATGTGGTCCAATTAGTTGTTTTTGCATAAAGGGCGTAGAGTGGACGTTTGCGATCAGCGGCTTCAAATTATAGCTGCAGAGTTCCAAGGGGTCTAACAGGCCATGATACGGGGGATGTCTTTTAAGTTTTGCATATATATACTACAGGTGAATTTTTAAGTATCACCAAGTCATTGAAGATAGACATGTGACATATTGCGAGATTGAGGTGTCCTTGAAGATCTCAAAGACCTCAATTCAAAAAATTTTACATGAAAAATTTAGGAGTAAGAAAATTAGTTTTCTCGTTGGATACCAGAAAATAAACGACAGTCGCTGTTTGGGTGTTCCAAGGTGAAGAAAAGCCACCAAAAGTCATCCGTTCTCGAAGTGTTTAGAAAAAGATGGTCGCGACATTCTGTCAAAAGCGGGTCATATTGCAACAATTCCTCTTAATGAGCAAAGAAGTGTTGCTGCGAATTGGTATACCACCATTTCTTTGCCAAAAGCCATCACCGAGCTTCGAAAATCAACCCCGAAAGAAGTATCATCCTCCACCAAGACAATGCAAGCTCGCACACAGCCCAAAAAACGAAGGCAGTATTTAACGGAAGAAACGTGGAATTATTGGACCATCTTCCATATAGTCCCGATCTAAGTCCTAACGATTTCTTTACTTTCCCGAAAATTAAAAACAGACTGCGTGGTCAAAGGTTCCAGTCACCAGAAGAAGCAGTTGACGCATTCAAAATGCCGTTTGGATCTGCCAGCAAACGAGTGGAATAAGTGCTTCGAAAATTGGTTCGAGCGCAAGCAGATGTGTATTAATCTTCGTGGAGAATACTTCGAAAAACAATAAAGTCATTTAAAACTACCTACCGTGTTGTTTTATTTCCATATGAAAACTTAAAAAACATCCCTCGTATACGAATGAACGCTCACCACGAAGAATTTTATTTAAGATGGTTATAGGAGGATAAACCAAAAAACTATAGTAGCCATCAAGTGTACTAAAAATAAATAAATGAAGGGTACAGGGGTGCCGTAGGGCTATTACGTAAAAAAAATCGGTTCCCCATCATGCTTTGTTGGTTGCAGATGCCGAGATAATCTGTAGGGTATTACTCTAGATGTGTGGTTGAGTAGCCAGAGTAGAGCAGAGTAGGTCACATCTGGATGATTGTGTGTATTGGTTTGCATGTAAGTGTATTTGAGACAAGACACCAAGGGAATTATCATCAAATAGATTATTAGCACAAAAATCCTCCATATGCACTGCCGTTTTCTTATACTGCACTTCTATCTCTGAAGCAGTTGCTACATCGCATCAGAGCCAAACATTGATAGTTGAAGCATCATGACGTTAAGGCAACACGCACAGCTACCGAACTAGTAACCAACAAGTGTATAAGTTGGCATCTTGTAGAAAAGCCTGCCGGTAGCTTGTGTATTTGCCTCGCAACACGTGCCCCTAGAGCGTGAAGAATCCCGTAGGCTAAAAGTGAGTCTCGACGCCAAGAAAACCGTATATAATAGCAATTTATTTACCTAGGCGCGATGTGCTGTAGGAGATAACGAGCCAAAATGGACGTATACGCCTCTCACGCCCGAGATAGATAACAAATTTGATCTCTGCATGACTGGCTAAAATCAAAAAGTTGCTAGTAGTAGTGTCACGAGTTAACGCCGTCACTTGGTAATGATTTTAGTTAATCACGTTTATCTAACCGCCTTATTGTGTCCAACATAGATTAATTTATATACATAGACCGTAAAGTAGGATAACGACCAAAAAGCTTACTCATAAAGCATACTCCAATTCCGCTTTCCAACGACAGTGTATGTTTTTTACAGAATAATCAATAAAAATGAGGCCTTCTTCAGAGTAGTGTTGATCCTCTAGATTTCTGATGACGTCCGCTTACAAACGAATATAAACATTAAGGATTTCCATTATATTACCCCGTATATTCATAAGTCGCACCTATTTCCCTGGAATATTCAACAATCAGGCAACAGCGCATTTGAGATGCAGAATTAACAACACAGTAGACAGCTGTGTCCGTCTCCGTCATTCGCAGAAAAGAGAAGCTTTATCTAAATAACAATGCACCATTGGCGTAACGAACTGCCAATGGCAGACGTTAGCCTACAGTACAACCAGTAAAACTAAGGAACCAGCTAGGTACGACTCCTAGAAACTGGGAAGAAAAACTAGTTTGTCTGTTTAGTATGCATGTTATACTCGGAAAGTACTATTCTAAGCGAAAAAGCTTTTCAGTTTCTGAAAACTTATCCAATATCGACAGAGCTCCTGCTAAAATTTCTTGCCCTTCTTACTTAGAAGCATGTTTATCCTTAGCGAGCAAAAACCTGGCAACTTTAAAATCTAATTCAAGTTGGCCACCTACTTGAAGCTATTTTATAGTTTCACTCCTCACAATGTCGTTTTGGAGGCTAATAACTATAAATATAGCAAATAGCTGCCCCCTTGCCCTCCCTGGGTACGCCCTTGATTACAAATAACGGAATCAAGCGGCTGGATGTAAGTTTAAATATTGATATTAAATGCTTGACTTATAAGGATAGCAGGAAGGCTGAAGAGGTGAAGAACGACGTACTCCTTATTCTATACTATTTCTTTGTACAGGATCGCTTCGTGTATAGAGGGCGATCGAAAAAGAGAAGGAGATATTTTAGATTCCTTGTTAAGAAAGATGAAAAAAGTTCGTATAAACATGGGTCCGGAAATTCAGTTTTCAAGATATAGCTAGGATGATAAATTTAAAAAAAATAATATCTTAAAAAATATATAGGTACTCGATTCTGTTGAAATTTTGTAATAATATTTGTTGTATCAAGAGGATATTTCAGCTCTAAATAGGTTAAAATTATTAGGTCCAATGGCGTTCCGGGGGCACCCTAGCGAATATTATTGGTAAAAAATGAGCGCCACTGCTTTTTTTGTTTCTTGTATTTTTTCTCACTTAGTTTTCGAGAAAAAAAAATAAAAACAGCTTTATTGCATATCACTGGACAAAATTGATTGATTAATTTGTGATAAAAAAATCACAAGTGCCTTGGAAAACAAAAAATGGAGATTTGACATTTGCGCGTCAGTCCAAACGTCAACAGAATCGAGTAAATATTTCAATAAAACTAAAAAAAACTTTTTACTTTATCACCATGTATCTTGAAAACTCTGCATTTCCGGACCCATGTTTATGAAAACTTTTTTCATATTTTTTAATCAGGAATCACACAATGAAATATCTCCGTCTATTTTTCGAACACCCTGTATATACGGGATGGGCTGCCTTTTCATAAATGTTTAAACTTTTTATATTCTTCTATTTAACTTTTTATACGAAACAAACATACTGTTTTTGCTAATTATTTTATAACTTGTTACTATCTATTTTATTCTAATTTTGTCATATATATTTTGCTATCATCATTACCTATATTATTATTATTATTAATAAATAATGAAAGGTGATTGGGCAGCAATGTCCATGAATAAGTCCTCTCATCATCATAAAATACTTCTGGTAGGGGAACCAATATCTTATCTACGATACGTGTAGAACAAAATCTAGGGTAATTGAGGATACGCATCATATTTCTAACCGAATCGGATAGTGTGACCAACCTGTTAAATATTGACCTAATGGAGACGTCCATGTCCAATCGGGAGATCCGATTCTTCGGGAGAAAATGCATTCCAGATGAATCGTGGAGCCCGGAAAGGCTGCCAACTCACCTCCAGGTTCTACTGATGCAGATCCGGAAGGTATCCTTATTAGAATTGACGGCGGCGCATCCTCTGTAAAATGTTTATAGGTATTGCTAGCTTTGTCAACAAAATGATGTTTAAACATCAGCAATTTTATAAAAGGAAACTGTTTCTTAAGACCCCAATTTATTTAACTACCAGGAATTCCATGATAGTAAAGATCATTAGTAGACTGGTATTCTATACTAAATTTTGAATAGTCGTTTTGAATGATGCTCTGAGGCGAACGAACAAATAAAACTTACTATGCCAATTTTTAAGTTGGCAATGACAAACCATGTTGGTAACGTACGCCATCTGTTATTGAAAAAAAAGGCAAGTGGAATAATTCTCTTCTCTGTTCCTAGATGGCGCAAGCGGCACCAAATGCACCAATTTTATTATTAATGTGATAATAAATCAGACTCTAGCCACTGCCTATTCAGGATATAGAACTTTATTAACGTTAAAACAGTGAAATAAATATGATAGTTTTGTATGTAATAAATTCCGCTACATTTTGGGCTAATTTGCTCTACCGCCGCTACGCCGTTCTTCTCAAAATAATCCGCAACAAATAGCGGAATTCCGCTACGTATGGCAACACTGGTTGGTATTAATGAAATGTCAAGCAGCATGACAATTGACAATGCGCTGTCACAATGTTGCCCGCGAATCAGTCCTGTCACGTAGTAAGTTTTAAGTTCTTTTTCAAATAAACTTAAGCAAGTTAAAGCCTGTGTCCATTTATTTTGAATGCGCCCTGCTAACACCAATGAACAAATTTGAAAAGCGTACTTTGATATTTCGTTTGATTTGGGAGCCCCCATCAAGTCGGCATCTTAGGCACGTGCCCCAAATGCCCATAGCGTGAAGACCATTCGTTTAGATTTTAGATTATTGCGTCTAACCGCAGAAAAACACAGTGCTAGAGACTGGGGCGGCGCACATGACGATCAGTTCCGTTATTTATGAAACGCACCCTGTTATTTACCTGTGAAGTTTGTGAGAAGCGTGGTTGGAACACAAGACGGTAGTCTTGCACTCCAGGCTCCGTTTTGGCATTGTGGTGCGGAAGTGCCTAATAGTTTGTAAAGTCCCAGTTCGCGACATCTCATTTGCAGCTTGGCGCCGTGCGGAAAATCCCATCCTGTGGACTGAGAAAGATCAAATGACAGACTTCAGGGATAATTCATTATAATTTACTTTACGTTGTAGAGGGTGGCCCAACGAAAATGTCGCGCCGCCATTTGTGACTCTCCTGATATATTTTCGGAGAAACGCTCGGAAACGTCAATTTTGATTTCTAGGGGGACGTCTTTTCATCAAGTTTATACATATCTTCAATCGTTGTGAAGTTATTCGAGTTTATAATAAAATTCTAGAAATTGTGATAATAAGCGATAGCTTAACACACGCAAAAAGACAGTGGCGTACGATGTGTTTTGCTCCTCCCTTCCGTTATGGTACCGGACTATAGTAACGTAGGACTGTATACTTACACGAATAGTCACATTCCGGAAGGTGATAAGAAGATGAGGATTGATGTGGTCTAGTTTGCAGTTCCTGAATAACGGTTGAAACCTTCCGTTATCTGAAATTATGACAGTATTAAAAACTATCCTTTATTACTGATCGAGATATAATGCCTACGCTCAAGATTGCCAGTAGGTCAGTAATAAATATCAAAAATGATAGTAAAACAATTGTTTCTTCGCCTATTTCGAAGCGAAAGGTCAAGCTTCTAACAATGGGTTCTTTCCGGTAAAAGCTTCCGACTATCCCGAACATTTCTTAAAGAAAACCAGACTAGTTCACAGCTTATTTCCAGTGGTTTTTGGTTTCAATGCATGAGAACACAAAGTGCATTGGAACGATATTGGTCCCGAACACTATTGAGTAACTCCGGGTAACTCGAGAGGGCCAATGGAAAGCAGCTCAGTATAGTCAGTGCATAGATATTCAGCATTATATTATTTATTTGGATGAGTCTATTTAACAGTCCCTGAGAGATAGAGGCTGCTTATTCGTTTGAACTGATTATACCGGGTGTTCCAAAGTCGACCCTTACCACTGGAATCCCGGAGCCGGTAAGAGATCGGTTAGATGAGCAAGGAAAGACTTAGAGAGCTTCGAAATTCAAGGTACAGCTCGTCAAGTGTAGGAAGAGATGCGAATTTTTAATAAGATATAAGATCAAAGGCAGTTTCACCGGCCCACGTGGAGTAAAGCACGCCTATGCGTGGACATAGCCAATGAGAAAGTGTGTATTTCAGAGCTCCGAACAAGTGCAGGTGGCTACTGAAAATTGAAACAGTTTAGCCAGTGCCGTGTAGCGGTGAATAAACGTGTTTTCTTTAGTCTGTCCGTGTTTTTCATAGATTTTATTAGTTTGTGTGTTTTTGACTTTTGAATACTCAGTTTACTTGTTGATTTAATTGTTGTGTTGATTGTTCTAGTGTGTCCTAAATATGGCTCTTTGGAGACCTTGGGAAAATGCTCCAAGCCAAGAGGAGATGGTTGATGAACCTGTACAGGCAGAATTCTTTCATAAAGATTTAAAGGAACAGACCCAAAGAGTAATCCTAAATATGTATGATTGTCTGAAAAACGAAAATCCAGATTCCTCGCAAAATCAAATTTTAAACAGAATTTGTATCCTGACAAAAATCAGTCGGTCTACCATTTATCGGGTTATAAAAAGGGGAGATGTAGTCAACCATTCCTTCCACAGTAAGCGCATAGGGCAAAAATTAAAAAGAATAGACGTGGGTTTTCAGGAAGATATTCGTCGTATAATATACGGATTTTATAAAGAAAATTTGGTGCCCACGTTGGAAATGATACGGGATAAATTAAAAGATTATTACAAATGCTTAGACTCACTGCACTGTATTGTAAAACTGTGTGGTTTTCAATACAAAAAATTAGATAAAAGAATGGTGATTATGGAGTCGTCTCGAGTCGTTGAATTGCGCCAAGAATTTTTGCACAAAGTTAAAATCTATAGAGAGCAGAAAAGAAATCTGATCTACCTGGATGAAACGTGGTATGATACCCATGATGTTGTGCAGTACGGCTGGGTTGACGACAGCAACAAGTGCATTTTAAATGCACCATGCAACCGTGGAAAACGAATCATTATTCTCCATGCTGGCAGTGAAAATGGATTTATACCTAATGCCTTGCTGTTATCTGCCAAAAATATCAAAGAATCATGTGCCGATCATGAGGACATGACCTCCGACTTATTTGAAAAGTGGATAGAGCAGCAGTTAATATCAAACATTTCCCCAAATTCAGTGATTATTATGGACAATGCGCCATACCATTCCCGACAGAAAAACAAAATTCCGAGTACAGGCACAAAAAAACAAGACATTATTGATTTTATGAATGATAAGGGAATGGAAATACCACAAAAATCAACCAAAGCCATATTATTGGATCTTATTACAAGACAAACATTTGAAAAAGAGTATGTTGTCGACAATCTGCTGCAGCAAAATGGCCACGAAGTATTACGTCTACCTCCCTATTACTGCATTTTTAACCCGATTGAGTTGGTCTGGGCTGCTTTAAAAAAAAAGTAAGAAAACATAATCAGACCCCTCAATTAAGTGAATCGCTATTGGCCACAATAAGAGATGCAGTATCTCATATTGCTGCCACAGACCTATGGAAGCAGTGTTCTAGGCATATTATTGAAAAAGAAAATGAATATTGTGTTTTGCCTCCTGTAAATCCCATTGTAATTCCTCTACAAGATGACTAGCGACAGCTCCGAAGGCGAGGATGATATATAAATACCTATAATGTAAGTCTTTAACGTATATACCTTTTTATATACCTACCTGCTATGTAAATATTTGCCTATGTCAAACGTTGGAATTCTGTAATTTTTCCATTTCTTAACTTTCAGTCAACATAAATTAAACTCCCAATATAAGTATTTTTTATCCCAAATCAAAAAAATAAGAAGATAGTAAAATCCATTTATTGTGATATAAAAACATTATTATTATCGTTCTAAATAAATCACCACACGCCTATGATACGTCATGAAATTACAAAGGACGCGCCGACCAAAGGTTTTTATGCTATTTCAAGTGACTTCAGATATACCATACACCACTATTCATGTCTGACTAATTCTTATGTCGCCATTGACTGCACTATACTCCACTCCGCTCTGCTATTCTACCGTATTCAGTATTCTCCTTCCATCTCCCGGCTGCCGAGTTATACAGGTATATAGTCCCTATTGCTGCTTCGAGAAAGGTCTGGTGAGTCACCGCCACGGTCCTCACAGACGCCGCCAAGCGGCTCGTGCAGCAGTGGTTCGCTTAAAAGCAGAGATCGGCAATTAAGCTCTGGCGAGTGGGAGACTCGCCCAACAGATGGCGCGAACAGTACTATTTGTCACAATACATACAAATTTACGCTATTAATTGTCGCCATTTATCCCTTGGTGTGCTATTTGATTTTAAATCAAAATTACAACGTAAAGTTTTACCAGGACAAACTAGGGAGGTTGTAGCAAATGTTATATTCTTTATGCAACGAGAAGCAAAAGGAAATAAACCTCTCAAAGATTTGAAGAAAGTTCAAGAGCGTGCAGCAACAGGAGTTAGTCTGTCGACTATTAGGAGGATTTCTCGCAAAATGAAGGTGCTTTTTCGACACCAAACAAAAAAAGGTCAAGAGCCACTCCGAAATCTGATTTCGACGACTTTGATAGAGGATTGAATAAACTGTTTTTGTTTCCTTTTGACTTATGCCAAGAACTTCGATTAAAAAAAGCAGGCTTCACATGATACGTATTCCAATATTGTAATTATTCGATCAATTTAGGACGCAGATTTTACCACTCGAGATCGAATGGCACTTATTGTACGTGCCATCTCTTTTGCCTCGAATGCGTTCTCCCTCTCTCGTGTGCGCAATCGCAGCAAATCTTCATATCTCTTCCAACACTTGACGAGCTGTACTTCCGAAGATACACGAACAAAAAAATAGTTTCCCAAAGCTCTTTCCTGGCCATAGTTGACTGGGATATCAAGATTGCATATTAACTTTGTCAGTGTTTCTTCTATACAGCAAGAAAGCACAATTAGAATTATTTTAATATGTCGTTCTCCGTCATCTTTATTGTTTTCTTATGAACGCCATATAGGAATTTTGCATGAGTGAATAGACCTCGTTAATCTAATATTCAAGAATGTATACTAAATGACACATAAAACTACACTACTGCAGTTATTCAAAAAATAGTACATTAGATACCATGGTGCATAATGTACAAGGAACTTGAAGCACCTTGTTAAATTTTGATGACGCGACGAGGCAATTTTGACAATACGCTGACGATTATCACGGCAGAACTGACGTCTTACCTTGTTGGTCAACACACAAAGGTCCTACCCACTGTCCAGCGATACACTTTATCTTACACAGTCTCTGCTCGCCTAGAGGACCAATCGAACCCGAAAACTTCACCTCCTTCACCTGAACGTAGTCGCTGTGCACCCGTTTATCGCCAGCTTCTGTTTGGGAGCCATTCAGTATCAGCTTTGGAGGAGAGCAGAACTCAAGTGATGCTTCTGAAAGGACGGTCAGTTAACGGATCAACGCCTTTGCGTATTGTTATCAACAAGAAATTATTTTAAAATGCAACGACGTGGATAACAACAAGTCGTTTCACTTGCAACTATATCTGTGGATTCGAACGTTGCTACAAAACCGCATACAAAAGATTGGAATTGTATAGTCAACGCCAAACAAAGTGGCGTGCACGTCATCACGATAAAAATTCCCCGACCTAATGCCTAGGTTTCTATCACAAACAATTGCTCTATTGCAGTTTCATATTAATGTGATATATAAATTGTAAAATGGTCATTACTCTCTTATTATGGTTAATAGTCATATAAACATTGTTATTAAAATATCACATAAGTTGCTTTCTGATAAATTTAGACGCATTATGCGAAATAAAATGTTTTGCAAACGCTCCAATCACTTATCGACATGTAAACGCACTAAACCGATTTCGCAGCGTTGACACATTGTCACCTTGAAACTTATTTAAACTGGGAACTGACATTTGTATTAATTTTGACACTGAATCAATTTGTGGCATTTCAAATCTTTATAAATCCTTTGGCCCCGCATACTGTAAATCAACAACTGTTTGTTTCAAAACAAAATTATTCATTTTACGAGTAGATAAAGGCAATTTTGGTATATAAAGATGCCCAAACAGTTAAATAGTCGGTGTAAGGAACTCGTGGCCTCGTTAATGCACTACTTTGAGCAAGAAAGGGACAACAACGGGCCTTTGTTGCCTTTAAATGCTGTTCAAGAGGTAGGTTACTAATAATTATATGTAATGTATATTAATAATAGTGAAATTTTATTTCATTTTTTGTAGCGTGTTGCTGCTGCTTTAAAAATTAGTTTAAGGACAGTTAGTCGTATTTCCGAGGGTGTGAAAAGTGATGCAAATTTAGAATCGCCCAAGAAAAAGCGGAGTTATATTAAACGTGTAACCAACACAGCGACATTGGATACAAGTGCCATTCGAGAAGTGATCTATAATATGTATCACAAAAGTAAGATCTTATTATAATAACTTATCAGAAATTTGCATTAATTTGTTAACTAAATTATAATGTCATATTACACATGGTTTCAGAAGAACAAGTTACGATGCAAACTTTATGGTCTCGATTAAGAGATAGGGCATTATTTGATGGTAGTGCCACGTCTTTAAGGCGGTTGCTTAGAGATCTTGGATTTAAGTGGCTTAAGGACAATCCGCGACGAGGGCTCATGGAACTACCAAGTATAGCTTTGAAAAGGGTGGAATTTCTAAAGCAATACAATCAAGCCAAGGTTGAGGCCTGTTTGTCTTCCTCGATGAAACTTGGATATTTCAAAATGGGACCATAGGTCGCTCTTGGCAAAATGGAAACCAAAAAAGCGTGAAAGCTATTAAAACAGATGGTAAAAGGTATGTACTTTTACACAATTTGCACTATAAAATTTAAAACTAATATATTTTAGATACATTATATTACATGCTGGAAATGAAAATGGGTTTATTGAGGGTAGCGAAGCGATATTTTCTTCGAAAACAAAATTGAGCGATTACCATGGAGAGATGAACCAGGACAATTTTTTGAAATGGTTTCAACATCAGTTATTAGAAAAATTGGAGAGTCCATCTATGATTATACTGGATAACGCCCCTTATCACAGCATGATATTGAACAAAGTGCCCAACAATGCATGGACAAAAAAAAATATCCAAGACTGGTTGACAAATCAAAACATACCATTTTTAAACACAATGTTTAAAACAGAGCTATTGAGTATTGTTGCTCGGTACATAATGCTTCTTAATTATATATATTTTGGTCGACAGTTTATATTTCTTTTGTTTATTCCTATTCTTAAAATAACTGCTTTTTTAGAAACAAACCACCTAAAATATACGTGATTGATGAATTGGCGGAACAACATGGGCACAAAGTTCTTCGTCTGCCTCCTTACCATTGTATATTTAACCCTATTGAGTTAATTTGGGGCATAGCAAAAGGTTACTATAACAGACATATTGGTAGAGATGGTAACAGTGAAAAAGACTGTTTGGATATGTGGAACGAGGCTCTACAAACGGTTACCCCAGACATGTGGAAAAATAGTGTTCGACATACTGAGCAAGACATTTTTAAATGGTATGAAAGAGAACGAATTTTTGATCGACCAGACATCGAACCTTTAATAATCAACTTTGAGAGTGATGAAGATTCAGATTCAGACAGCGCTGAAGAAAGAAACTCCGACTAACTTTATTGTACAGAAAAAGCTTACACCAGTAGCTTACCTAATTTTAAAATGCATTTTTCTGTATGAATTCTGTAAAATAAATACCATGCATAAAATTTGGAGGACCCCATTTGGATTTTTATTCAGTACCTTTAAGCTATCAATTAAATATGGTAGTTTCATAGTGTCATCTGATCAATAATTGTCATACTTAATGATTATGCAAGTACAGATCTATAATTTTATTATACTATTATTTTTGTTCTCATTTGAGGTCAATATTGCTTATAAACCTAGATATGTAAATAATAAATTTTATTATTTTACAAAAAGTTTGGCAACAATGTAAATTTTTCAACACACCCACCTTGATGACGTGCACGCCACTTTGTTTGGCGTTGACTATACGTAACTATCGACTCTGAAGTTTCAACGTAACCTTGTCAACATTTCATAAAGAATTATGTTCGGAAAAAATAGCACCTCTGAGAAAAAAAGTTAGCTGCAAAAAAATACATGGATCAAGTCAGTCAAAAAGGTCGATATAATAATGCAGGAAAAGACCTCTACTACGGTGGTTACATACGCAAAGAAAGTACACAGATTTAATGCAAATGTTGAGAAAATGGAATAACAATTTTCTTTTTATCACAACCAAGAAACCATACACAAAACGAAGATTTGAACCGCCAGAAATCAGATAACAGTATACGAGTAACGAGTGAAACTACTCGCCAGTATATGGATAATATATACCGTTTATTGTACATTGTTCATTTTGTATAAAGCTGACCCACATTGGAAGTATGACTGTTTTATCAGTTATACTGGTTACTATGCATGTGTTCGGATATATCTACAATGTCTTAAAAACTATAGAATCACAAAAGATCCAAATAAAGTGTTAAATGTTTCAGATTAACTCTAATCAAAAAAAGTAATGCGCTTAATTTAAATGTTGGCAGAATAGACCTTAGTCTGTACTTAATACCGCCGAACAGATCTTTGATAATCAAATATCTTCTCATGCAAAATTTCTTAATTACGGGAATTTTAAATCCGATATTTAGACGAAACGAAGTATCAAGAGTTTCTTTCTCTCACCTTCCTGCACGTCTTGGTTAGCATTCACCTGTAAACCAAAACACTTCAATAACACAATCGAAATAAAGGCCTTAAGCCTCATCACAACATTTCGGCCACAAAATACGCTTTGAGGGATTATCGTTGAGGGAAAACAGCTGGTCGGAAAATGTTTTTCCGAGGACTACGCAGGCGTTAGAGGGCAGGGGTTGCTACGGGGGAAATTGGGAAACTTGGTAGTGTTGTGCGCGAAATCCAGACACAAAGGAAGGACGATTTTGTTATTGGAATGTGTTTCTAATAAATGTCGCACAAAAACTGACCTCAACTAAATTGACTAACCCTTACTTTTTAACAAAAGATTTTCCAATTATCAGGAGCCTCTGAAACACAAAAAAAAAGTTTGAGTGATTTTTGTTTTTTTGGTGTTTTTGGACTGATATTTCAAAAACTACAAAGCTTTGAATGAGAATTTCATCGAAAGCGGTACTTTCCAAGCTATAAACTGACAGACAGACCTGTATACAGACCCATGGAAATGATTGACGCGCGACCAAAAGAAAAAAAAGAAGATAAAGCGATTTTTATACAGGGTGACTTCGAAGTTGAGTCATTTATTTTAACAGTGAGTAGATCTGATCAAAGGAAACGTTTTTTCCTTTACCATTTTTCTGGTAAAATTAAAGTAACAATTTTATAGCCCCTTGGAAGTTTGAGTACCGCCCTGTCTCAATGATAATATTATGTGCTCGTGTTTGGCAACAATGGATATAATCCGCCATCGGTTCATCGCATCGGAAACAAAAAAGCGAAAGAATTTGGAACGATGTTTTTACAATTATTTTATTCAGTTGTGTTGTATACACTCAGTGTACAGTCGGTAACGCGTCAGTGAATAGTAGTGTCTGTTGCGTGGCTCAAACGAAATAAAAAATGGCACATGTTTATGCGGATCGGTTTCCCAATCGAGTGCAACCAACCCCTCGTTCCTTTGTTAATGTAGTACAACGGGCTCGTGAATGAGGTGACTTAAGACGGCATGCCAGTGCTCCAAGACCTCGCGATCAAATACAGGTCCGCACTGAAATACTTGTCGGGAGGATACTTTATAAAACAAGGTAAATTTTTTTTTATTTTTACACACATATTTTGGTTTATCTTCCTTCAACAATCATTATCTGAAAATTAATGACTCAACTTCAAAGTCACCCTGTATATTTTTGGCCGACAGACAGACAGAAATGAATGACATGGTTCCTCATGAAAAATCATATCTTATTTCCCATAATTTTTCCCGCCAGTATAACCGTGGGAAGCAATCCGTTTAAAAATTATACTTACCGTAATTTCGTTCCACGGTCATGAAACAAAAAGAAATATCTGAGGGGAGATTAGGAATAATTAACCAAACGCGTACTAATCTCCGCCATTTTCATCCCACAATCGAAACAAATGAACAGATTTTTTCTGTCTAATTTTACTTAATGCTGGCAAGTCTACTTTGCGCTGTCAAATCCAGAATCAAATTCAAGCGGATAACCAAATGGAAATGGTATTTACCATTTTGGGTTGGTATTTACCAATCCGTTCAAGCGAGTGTAGTTATCAGTTTGGTTATAAGATCCGTGACGTCACGAATCAGCTGTTATATGTCATAGTTATCACCGCAAAATTGTGGTATTTACCCAACTCAAGAGTAGTTTTATATTTCTGGTTATTATTTGAAATGTGACAAGTTAGAATTTTGCCGGGTATTGGATATTGTTATTGTACTTCAGCTTCATTTTTGAGAAAAATGATACAGGCTGACTTCAGTTTTACCATAAAGTGGAGCACCTTATTAGTTATACTCATTACGGTTGTTGGGGACACTTTAAATGTAGTTCCCATGCTTAACAAAGTATCCTGTGTAGCCATATACCACAAGAATATTAAAATATGGCCATATAAACTCACTAGATGATATCCACCTGTATACGGTTTTGCTAATTTCTTTTTTCATCATTTCTGCTGAATCAATAAATGTTTTCTTTGACATGCGGAAAAATTTAGAGAATTGAAAGTTATCATAGCTACAAAGCCATGGTTCCATCATTAAAAAAAAATCTGAAAAAAACATTTCTCCCATGAATATTATGAAAGGTTTCTTATTTAAACTTTCCATAATATACAGTTGTAGACGAAAAAGCACCGATTATTAAGTGATAATAAAAATAATCAGAGATTATATACGCGCTTTTCTAAAATAAACAACTTGCAACAAAACCGCGGTTAAAACCAACGCGTTCAAGCGATTCGTGTAACTGACGTCATCAACCCGTGTGTCATCTTGAACCATATTATAACCGCGGCACATAACACAGAAATTTTGGTTATTCGCTTGGATTTGATTCAGTTGTCGTAAGAACTAGGCAACCACAATAGCACCATCGTATGTCACAGTAAAAACATGGCGGAAAATGTCATATGTCGAATTGTTCTGAGTAGGCAAGCGTTTTTTCTGTAACATGTTTGTTCTATCACTGCAAAACATGACGACGAAACGTCATTCGTGTCGCCGCTTGAATGGCATTGAGTAAAACCGCTCCCACACGATGTGGCGAATGCCTTACAATGTTGGACACATGGCCATTCGCCACATCGTGTGGGAGAGCGCTGCCGGATTGCAACGTTGGAAGCATGGTACGTTACGCTCTCACACGAGATGTCATGTGTGATGGTTTTAGGTTAGAACCAGTAGCGGCGACAAACATTATTTATTTGTTTGCTGTGATTGTGGTGAAGTAGTGGTTTGTGGGAGGTATTTTGATTTGAATACCTACCTATTCATAATAATGTATCATCCGTTACTAACTTTTGAGGAGAATGGATTAAATTAGTATACGTACAGAACATCGGCTGCCATAACAACACTTTTTTCATATTGCTAATATTTTGTGTTTCGCATGTGAGTTATGGCTGGCCTAAGGGTATGTATTTTAGTAAATTATAAATCGTGTGCTTACAGTTGTTTCATTATAGTGTCCCGTTGCAATGCAAGACTAGTTGAGAAATATATTGAGTTCCATTTCATAATTTACGAAATAGATTAAATAAATGATAACTCTGAAAGTGCTATCACGATTTTGATGAAATTTTGACCCTAGGTTACTACTATGAAAATGACGAAAAAGCTCTGCAGTTTTTGAAAATCGGTACAGTGGCGGTGGAGCTATCGTCGAAAAACAAATAAAAAACGGTCAAACTTCCTTTTTCGACATTTTTGAGGTTTCTGACAGACTTAAGTTTTGGTCGCTGAGGACAGATCTGAAATTATTTTTCGGCGCTCGAAAAAATTGTTGCATTGTTTATTTTGTATAATTTGTCCTTCGCTTGTAAAGGTTCAAGCGAGACACTGACACCGATAATAGACGTTGGCACCACCATGCATCATCAAGTCGTGTACGAGACACACTTGCCAATTGTAGGGTGGCGAACGTTGTAAACAACGTTGGAAGCATCATGTGGGACCCGCATAAGCGTTTTTTCCGCATTTGTTTTGTGGTCACATCTGTCAGGTGTCAGGTACCGCCAGCTGTCATCGCTCCCATTCTGCTGTTATGTCATCAATAACATTTTGAAAAAATCTGCAATTCCAAAAAAATGAATGTAGTTATATTCTCCTCAAAACTGCTAAGTACGCTGCTCGTATTCTTATATATTATTTAGAAAGTGCATCATTTCAAAAATTTCCTCATTACATAACCTAACCTATGCCCCTATTTTAGAGCAGCAGCCGGGGCTTTTGAGGGTAGCCTATGTACAGGCAAGTAACTACAGCACAGAGGATAAGGCTTACAACCTAGCAAGTTTAAAGAGAGGTACCGGAGGTCGTAGCAGTTTCAATGGGATAGTAGCCACTGTGTTTGGAGCCACTGGTTTTATTGGCCGATATGTTGTGAACAGGCTAGGAAAAATTGGCACACAGGTAATTGTGAATAATAGTTAAGTTGTCTCATTTTGTCGACTATTTATAATTGGTCCAAAATTATAAAGTTGTGGATATATAAAATGGTGAGGACTGCAAAAGGATTTTTGTCACTGTTATAGGGACATCACTCTTAAGGCACCATCCCCTGTTTTATTTTGGTCTCCTAGTAATAAATGATGCCTACCATTAGGGATGTGACTTTGAGTAAAAAAAAATGATCAAAGAAAATGAATTTTTCTTTTTCAATATTAATAGGTTTTTCAAAAATCGATCTTAGAAGAAAAATCAATATTCTGGAAAAAAAATCATATTTTTACTATGAACCAAGAACTACTGTTTAGACTCATTAAAGAAAAAAAACTGTTTGAACGGGTATAAAACTATTTATCTACTAATACACTGATATGTTACACTGATAGGCAAAGTGATTAAAATGGGTGATTTACTTATATAATTCATTTATTAAAAAATCCTTTATAATGATTATGAAAATTGATTATAAGGAAAGAAAATCAACTAATTGATTGTTTTAATAAACCTATATTCCATCAAAATGCTGTATACTTTGTGGGGAAGCTATTTTATGGACTTTTGATCTTAATGTCAAAATTGTCACCACTTTGCCTTTCCGAGTAGCTGATTAGTACATACTTTACTATCATTTTGAGAGTAGTGACAGTATTATATATGCACTTTTATGTTGTAGTACTCTCAAACCCTTAAGCATTGTTTTTATAGACAAGTTAATAATGGTATAATTATGGGAGAAAATGTTCCCACTAGGATTTCTCTCTCTGGGTAATCTTGTTAAATTCTTTTACTCATTTGAAGTATGTAGTTATTATGCTGAAGCTTAGAAGACTGTTTTGAAATTGCTGATCATATACGTGCTCATAAGATAAAGCAAAAATGATGGTTTACATGAAAAAAAATGTCATTTTTGGGATACTCACCTATTTGGTTGGCCCCAGAGTAAGGACCATATATGTTGGAGAGTCACATTAGATCAACTAACTGCTGAAAATCAACTTTGAACTTTTTTATTTTGCTTTTTTCATTGTAATTACTTGTTTTAATTCACTGTATTCTGTTTTAAACAGCAATGATTCGATAAAATATTTTTGTTTTAAATTCTATTTAATGTCTGTTTTCAGATAATCATCCCATATAGGGGTGACAACTATGATCCATTCAGACTGAAAGTGATGGGAGATTTAGGTCAAATCTACTTCCATCCGTATCATCTCAGAGATGAAGAATCTATACTGAAATGCATGAAATATTCAAATGTTGTGATCAATCTTGTTGGCAGAGATTGGGAGACAAAAAATTTCAAATTCGATGATGTACACGCGGAAGGTGCAAGAATGCTAGCAAGGTAGAATATAAAAATAGCTCAATAATCTGCTATGTTTCAGAATTCATACAGATTCACTTTTGGAAATCATGTAATATGCTTCACCGAAAGTCCTGTTCGGTCTCAAATTTCGCGCCATTTCCTGTATTGAATCCATCATTATTTTTGCTGTGGATACCAATTTTTTCATGCACAAGGAATTTTTTATTTGAACGATCCTTCCTCTCCCCCAAAAGAAAACGTACAGCAGTACGGAAGCGACTGTCGACTGCGACGCGAAAATGATCGGGAAACTCTAACGTAAAAAAATTAATATATATTTATATATATGTGAGCAGTAGTCATTGCCATTGCCAACGACCCGTTGGGCAAAAAAAAAAAATTAATTGTTAATTGGGAAATTGGCAAACTTTTTAGGCTTTAGTGAACTCTTTTAACGGTAAACTCGAGCTTTCGGCACTCTCTATGGAGTCTTCTTCAGGAGCTGAAAACATAATTATGATGCTAGCAACCAATATAGGAAAGATTTAAATTGTCCAACAACTAACCTCTTTTAACGGTAAACTCGAGCTTTCGGCATTCTCTATGGAGTCTTCTTCAGTAGCTGAAAACACAATTATGATTCTAGCAACCAATATATTAAAGATTTAAATTGTCCAACAACTTACTCGTCGTTGAGGTTGCAGCCAAATGGTGTTTCAAAACGAACGCGGGGATGAGAGCACTTGTTACATTGGGTTTATTGATAACGACGGAATATATATATATATATACATATTTATTTTCTGAATCAGAAGGGCTACATGTTAATTTCAGATGTGCAAAAAAATCAGGCGTGGAAAGGTTCATCCACCTATCAGCCCTGAATGCTTCTATTATACCACCTTCAGCAGGCATAATAAAAGGAGGTTCCAAGTTTTTCTCCAGCAAAGCAAAAGGAGAAGAAGCTGTGCTGGAAGAATTTCCCGAAGCGACCATCATCCGGCCTGCAGATGTTTATGGGCAAGAAGACAGATTTCTTAGGTATGATTGTGGAAACAACAAAAAGAAATCCCATCTTGATAATCTTTATATTCAAGGTATTATGCTCATGCGTGGAGGAGGCAGGTAAACTATTTTCCATTGTGGAAAAAAGGAGAGCACACCGAAAAGCAACCGGTTTATGTTGGTGACGTAGCAGCCGGGATTGTAAACGCTGTAAAAGATGGCGACACCGCTGGGAAAGTATATCAAGCTGTTGGGTAGGTTTCCTCAAGCTTTCTGAAGGTCTTTTAATAACATATGATTTTTGCTGTAACATATAGAAAAGACATTTCAGACTAAATTTCGCTATATTTTTCAGTGCGAAAAGATACCAGTTGTCCGAGTTGGTGGATTATTTTTATCGCGTGATGCGAAAAGACGACGAATGGGGATATGTGCGTTACGACATGCGTTGGGACCCGCTGTTTCAGTTGAAGGTCACCCTGACGGAAAAAATTTCACTCAGTTATCCTCTGGCCAATTTGCATTGGGAGAGAATCGAAAGGGAACATGTTTCAGACGATGTGAGTATTTGACTTGAAAAATTGTAGTTTTTCAAAAACTCGTGAGAAGTCGAGACGAAAAATGCGTTATAAATAGGATTCAAATTTATGCCAGTATACAGGGTATAATTTAATTGATGGTTAAAATTACAGGATACGATCCCTTAGCTCATTTCAGGAAGAAAAGTTTAGGGTAGGGTGTTTCATAATGAAATAAGTCAGAAATGATGGGTACTACACGCCCTTAACGGATCTAGCACGACTTTTCCTGTAACCCTGTATAAATATATGTCCTAAACCTCTTAACTTTCGAGCTATAGGGTGTTAAAGCTTTAAGAAAAAATCCTTTAAAAAATCTCAAGGGTATTTCTTATGGTTTGGCAAGAAAGTAAGATTTTTTGCCTTAGTTCCTCTGCTGTTTGAACTGGTGTAGTAGAAAGTCTTGAGGTGCCCCCACAAAAAAATAGTCTAAACTATTTAAAGAAGGAGTTCCCCCCTGCTCTTCAACATACAATGGCGTGTAGGGAATACGTTCTTCCAATCCTAATAGGAGTGATGATAATTGTTAGTTGTGAATACAACGCGGTTTCAAGCGCTGGTATCGAAAAGGTGGAACGCGGTTTCAGACAAAATACTTCATACAAATTCAACTTTTCTTCAAATTTTTTAGGTAAAGTACAATATTCCCACCTTAGAAGACCTTGGGGTCACCTTAACTCCCATGGAACAGCAAGTACCATGGGAACTGAAACCCTGGACGTACGCCATATACAGAGGACAAGATCCTGATGAACCATTCACACCTGCAGCTCCACCAAAACCTGTCGCAGTTTAAGTGTGAAGTTGGATGTATTGTCGCATATTGTATCGATCAGTTAATATAATCTGTTATCTCTTTTTATAGTAAGATTCACGTTACAAGTTAAATCAACATTTTGACTGGAGGACAAGCATAAACTTGCTCGCATGATTGCGTTTACCTTGTTTCAGCTGACAGCCTGTTATTAAAGAGGCATGAATAAGGCAAAATAATGGAAGGTGCTTTGGATATTTTCTAGGTCAAAACTTTATTTCCAACTTGCCTCAAAATTAAACATTAGCATATTCACTGATCAAGCCACAAAGAGAAAATGGGTTGAAGATATGTAAAATGCAATACTGAGGGCCGGTTTATCAATGCATGGTTAAATAAATCAACTAGTAGTTAAAAATAATCTGACGGTCAAAATGTTTATCCACCGGCAGTTAAATATTAACCAACAGTTAAACCCGTGTGAAACCTGACCGCAACTTGGATGTTCCAGTTACGAGCGATAACTAGCAGTTAGGATCTGAAGCATGCGCAGATTGCAGACTTCTTCTTGTTTTGATATGTCATTCTTGTCATTTTAACCTCAAAAAGTCTGTGTCAAAACGTAAGCAAAAACAAGGTTTTTGTAAAGAATTATTGTTTGAAAATCAAGTGAAAACTTTGAAATATGTTGGGTGATATTGATGCTATGTTCGATGATGATGATGATGCGGAAATAGTAGAGTTTTTAGAATATGAAAGGAGGCCCTATATTGTACGAGAAAGAGAAGACTTCTTCCATTCATTGGACGACATAGATTTTTTTGTGAGGTTCCGCTTGAAAAAAATTACGGTTTTATATATTTTATCTCTCATCGAGGAAGAACTCGAATCTGTTACCGACAGGTAGGTTATTTCACGTTTTTAGAACGCTGCTGATGTTAATACCTATAGGTACTTTTTATTTTCTGCGAATATTTTTTCTGTAATATTTAAACAATATGGAAATAGATATGTGGATTTCATTGAATTTTATTTAACTTATCATGAACAATTCTATGACAAATGACTCCCTGTGGTAACTATTAATTGTATATTTATTTCAGAAATCATTCTATTTCACCCATCAATCAGTTATTACTGACTCTACGCTTCTATGCTACGGGAAACTTCCTACTAACTGTTGGTGATTTCATCAAAGTTAGTAAGAGCTCTGCCTCAAAAATAGTGAAGAAGGTGTCTGAGGCAATAGCTACCTTCTCAGGTAGATTTATAAAAATGCCAAGTAATGATGAGGAAATAAGGAAAGCCAAAAGTAGCTTTTATGAGAAAGCACATGTGCCTAGAGTGATTGGATCCCTTGACTGCACACACATAAAAATTCAGTCACCTGGTATGGTATCTATTTGTATCTATAGAACTTGTACTTATAAAACTTTACCCTTACAGGAGGAAATAATGCAGAACTATTTCGCAATCGAAAAGGCTATTTCTCCATCAATGTACAAACCATTTCAGCCCCCAATCTAAAAATATTAGACATTACTGCACGCTGGCCTGGAAGTCAACATGACCAGATAATTTTTGATAATTCATCAATAAAAAGTAGATTGGAAAGAAATGAATTTGGCAATAGCCTTTTAGTAGCAGACAGTGGTTATGCAAATTCAATGCATGTAATAACACCACTTTTGGAAGCAAGAACACAAGTCCAACAACTTTATAATGAAGCTGGTATGTTTCTATCTCTTATAATCATTACATTATATGGAGCTGTTTTTTATTTTACTCATAAAATAATTTAATTCACTAAAAGCATGAACCATATTTTTTCATTGTACAGATACTACACTGCATTATTTTTTCTATACAAGGAGAATTAAAGTTAATGAGTTTGTTTTTCATTTATTTTTTCAGTTACAAGAACCAGAAATCCTGTGGAAAGGCAATACGGTTTGTGGAAACGACGATTTCCAGTTCTCTCAACAGGGTTGAGACTAAAATTACAGACAACCCTTACAGTGATCGTTGCCACAGCTGTGCTGCATAATATAGCAATTGACCAAAATGAAGAGCAGCCCCCTGATATTCCAAACTTGGATGAAAACATAATCAATTATGAAGAAGATATCAGTGTTGATCCTCCTGAAAATAACTTCATGAATGCCAGGGAACTGTTATTAAGTGAATATTTTCCAGGGCTTTTAAATTAATTCTTTACTTGTACTATTTATGAATTAAATACAAATAAAAAATAGCAATCTTTAATTTCAAAATTATGTGTTATATTTATATATATTACACATATTTTATAATTTATCATTTGTTCTAATCTGCAGTTCCATTTTCAAAATGTCTTGCTTCAGTTTCAGGTTTTCCATTTTTATTTTATGCTCTGCAGCATTTTGCTTTTTTATTTCTTCTGCAATCGACATTTGCAAATTCACCAGCTCTAACTTCTTCATAGCCAGTTCTTCAAATTTCGAAGAAGCAGAAGACATGCTTTTCTTTTTCTTAATTACTGGTCTTCGCCGACATGACCATGGCTCTAAAATAAAATTTTTGTATAGTAACATAAATATGAGATATCTATATACCTATATTTATAAGAAATATTTCACAGATACTTTTAGAGCTGGGAGTCTCTGCTACACTGATACTGTCAGTATTATGGTCGGTTACTTCCATATCTTCTCCACTTACGTCCACCTGTAGCACATTCGGCCTTGATACTTTCAAAGCTGGATGAATGTGTGTTTGAAGGTAGGAAGTACTGGGTGTGTTCCACTCAATATCTTCATGCGTTTCTACTATCACACTGCTGTTTTCAATCTCCTCAATTTCAACTCCTCTTACACCTGTAATCAAAATCAAATTAAGCATGATCCAAAGGTAAAAATAAAAAAACAGAACTTTCCTGCTATGGCATCTGAATCATATTGAGACTGAAGACCCTCAACAGAAACTATGATAGTTTGTAATAGTTCCTTCTCTTCTTCAGTCTCAGGTTTGGGTTCTTCTTTTGAAGCACCACCACCTGTTCCAAGCATATAGCACTTATGGCTGCTATATTTTTTTTTCAGCTCCTTCTTAATGGCCTCATACTTTGTTTTTAGCTGTTTTGCTGTTCGTGGCTAAAAATTTATTCATATATGAACAATTACGGAACAAAAACTAATATTGCATTCATACTCTTTTCACTACAGTTTATATCTTATTTAACAGAGTTGGGAAATGTTGCCAAAACTGTATATTGGAAATCAATTAATTTATCACATACTATAGCAATTGAAAAGTATATGTATATACTCACCACTCCAGTTGTAAATGAGTTGAATTCTCTTTCAATTTTTATCCACGCTTCTTCCTTCTGTCTCCAAGTAACTCCATCCGTTTTTTTATTTTCTATCACTGCCTTAAATTTGTTGGACAGTTTCAACAAGTTTTTGCGGTCGCTGAGGCTGAAGTTCGCTCCTCTTTTTTGTTTTCCCTTTCCACTGTTTTCTTCGCTTTCCATTTTTCCAAACAATCCGTACTAATTTCGTAAAACAATGCCACACGAATAAAGAAAACTTCAAGATACGTGATAGCAAAGACGTCATTGCGTGATAGTGATACACTTTCACACAAATATATCGAATAGGTTAAATTTTTGACATTTGCGTCATTTGTCATTGTCTGACATTTTTTGTGGGAAATTTAAATTCAACGAATAAAAATTCATTTCCGCTCAGTTCAGTTCTACCAACCTTGTAGAAACGAAGGCAAACCAAAAGTTATAAAACTGACAGCTATTGATTGATTGATAAACACGCTTCATAACATAACTGCCAGTTTAGCCTAACTTGAGGTTACTTAACAGGCACTTTTAACTGTGCTTTGATAAACCGGCCCTGAGATATGTCATTTATTGTATACATTTATGACCATCAATAAAACAATTATTAAAATCTACAAATCACATGGAAAATGCTTAATATAATACACCATAGAAGTGGGATAGTTATTACAGTCTTTTATAAGTATGAAACTTGTATAAACATGTTTATGATAGAGAGGTAAGTTATGGTCTAAAAGGGTCTAATACTAAAGTGCGGCTACGTAAAATAAATTGTGGTGAAAACTAGTCAGAAGAAAAAAGTTTACTACTTTGGGCGAATTGACGACTAGGTGAAATAAACTGCGACCATGACCAATCACCCTATTGATGCTTATTAGCAACAATCAGTATGGTGCAGGACTGAAATGACTTGAAAGAGCATGTGGTCTGGAAAACTCGGATAAGTACATTTCTGAAATGGTCTAACAACAATAGACGTCGTTTGCGTTATTTGAAGTCTCTTTCGTTCTATCTCAATGAATGGAGAACATTGTGATTCGTGCATAATTTATCGTTACCTTATATAAGGAGAGTTATTGCTATTGAATGTAAATGCCGACCGTGTTAAAACACGTAAAATCTGCATGGCAGATTTGATTTCATCTCTCCAATCACCTTCGATGCCAAAGGGAGCATAATAGCAGTTTCTATCAGATCTGTGTCATTTAATATACAGGGTCCGACACAAAGGATGGACGTTTTTGAAATGGCCAGTGCTCTCCGTCTATTCAGGCGAGAGTGCTGGGAAGGGTGCCGTTCGACTCGTGCGTACCTAGCATTTTTACCAGCAGACATTATGGAGCATTAGAGGGTTGAGTACGACAGTTTTGTCCATATGTACAGCGTGAGTTTTGTTGCCACCTTCAATAATCATCGGAATCGAGCTGTTCCTTCCTGTAGTTGAGTTCAATCACTTCGCACACGTGGTGTACTCATCAACAACAGACCACCAGGAGCTCCACGAACGGTTCGCACCCCCGGAAACGTGAGATGGAAGTACTTATCGAGCAAAATGAAAACCTCCCACACAGCCAGAGCAACGATGAACGTTATTCGCCCTCTCTTCGGTGGTCGCCTTATTTCCAGGTTTGGCGATGTTCATTGCGATTTTTTCCTCAAGGCTCGTGTATACGACCACAAGTCCCGAACTCTGCACTGTACGCGAACTTTCAAGAACGCCTTCCGCAATGCATCGTCAACAACGATCACCACATGACTGATGAGATTTTCCACACTTAATTATGACAAACGATATTTCATTGTGAACCCGAGTCCGTCAATAAATTTGTTTTTGAGTAAAAATGACCGAGTTTGGGATTTTTTAAAAACCGTCAGACTTTTGTGCCGGACCCTGTACAATTGCTACTTCTGCTGCCATGTTAACAATCTTATACCACAATTATTAGATATTTGTGAGATATTAAAATCATGGGGTGGTACTCTCGAATTACTGAAGTATTAAACACAAAAATACATGTTTCATTTTTTCCGAAAATTCAATCCTGGTTCTACGATTAAAAAAACATTGTACATAACTGTGGACATTTAAACAATAGTTTGGACCTTTTGATACCGTTCACGTTTTAATGATCGCGAGTCTTTGGCTGATTCAGTCACTGTCGCTGTCCGCATTCTTTCTGAGCGGGCAATTTTCCATTCGCTCCTGTAGCTGCATCACATGTTCAATGGCTTCCGGCTTGCCATCTTTACCGATTCTACACGGTTTTATAGTACCGGTCTTCAAAAGGCTGTCCATGAGATTCACCAGCTTCATCGCCTCGTACTCTTTCTGGATATAAAAAAGCAATATTCAGACCATCACGTCTTTCCGCGTAAGTCGAATCTTCGAAACTAAAGGTTAAACTAACTTCCCTAACAGTGAATTTCTTATCTGTCCGATGATTGTTTTTGTAAAACTCAATCAGATGTTCAGGTGGAAGCCTCGTAAGAGAATTGACAAAATAATTGTTCAGACAATCCACACGCTGAGGTTCTCGGATAAATTTAAAGAGTTGCCCATCAAATTTGTTGGGAACCATATTTTTGAGGCAACCTTCGTAAACCGACTCACCTGTTCGTCAGTCATTCCGTCAGCAACGCTGGGATGCGGTTCTTGATAGCAACCGACGACAGGATTAATTCCGTGTTTGTATTCCGCGTATTCTTCAGTTTCACTATCCGAATCCGAACTGGTGAAGTCGGCTTCGCCTTCGTCACGACCTCCTGCTAGCAGACCTCTTTGGGCGAACAGCCCGGCCGCGTTGCCATATCCACTGTACTTGATCATACGCGATACTGCGTGCCAATGGAAACATTCAAGGAGTCAAAAAGGTTTTGTCGTCGAAAGTTTCGAACAAAAGCTGGCAGATTTCGAGGTGGCAACATTATGGTGACCTTGATTACGACTTTTAAGGTGATCTTGACCTCGAATAACATTTAAGCTTGAAATGACCTTAACTTTGAGGTCAATGCCTCGTTCGGACGGAAAATCTCCTACTTTTTCCAGTTCCAGTTTAAACATGGAAATTTTGACTAGACCTTCAAGGTCATCGTCAAGGACACCTTTGGGTGATCCTTACAAATCTTGCAACTGTGCTATCGAATATTTTTTATGAAGCAAATTGTTTATAATGTCTTGATTTGCCTTGAACGGCCTTGAATGGTCAAGGTCCTGACCAAGGTGATGATCAGATGTACAATGTTTCTCCTAGAATGCGCAGTTCACGAAATATTACCATGGCCATTTGCAATGACCTTGACCATTACCCTCAAGGCCATCCCAAGGTCAAATAAAGACATCGAAAAGAATTTGCTCTAGCAAAAATGTTGGACAGCACAGTTATGATGTTCATGATATCATCCAAAGGTGACCTTGAGCATGACCTTGACCTTGATCCTCCAAAAATTTCCGAAAGGAACCTCTCATTTCTATACTGGTTGAGAAAAAAACAGGAAAGTTTTGGGCCAAATGTGACCTTGACCTTCAATAACATTTAAGCTTGAAATGACCTTGACTTTGAGGTCAAGATCACATTCGGGCAAAAAAATTTACTACTTTTTCCAGTTCCAGTTAAACATGGAAATTTTTACTTGACCTTCAAGGTCATGGTCATGGCCACCTTTGGGTGATTCTTACAAATCTTGCAACTGTGCTGTCGAATATTTTTTATGAAGCAAATTGTTTACAATGTCTTGATTTGACCTTGAATGGTCAAGGTCCTGACCAAGGTGATGATCAGATGTACAATGTTTCTCCTAGAATGCGCAGTTCACGAAATATTACCATGGCTATTTGCAATTACCTTAACCATTACCCTCAAGACCATCCCAAGGTCAAATCAAGACATCGAAAAGAATTTGCTCTAGCAAAAATGTTGGACAGCACAGTTATGATGTTCATGATATCATCCAAAGGTGACCTTGAGCATGACCTTGACCCTCCAAAAATTTCCAAAAGGAACCTCGCATTTCTATACTGGATGAGGAAAAAACAGGAAAGTTCAGGTCCAAATGTGACCTTGACCTCAAATAACATTTAAGCTTGAAATGACCTTGACTTTGAGGTCAAGGTCACATTCCGGCGAAAAAATTTACTACTTTTTCCAGTTCCAGTTAAACATGGAAATTTTTACTTGACCTTCAAGGTCATGGTCATGGTCACCTTTGGGTGATCCTTACAAATCTTGCAACTGTGCTGTCGAATATTTTTTATGAAGCAAATTGTTTATAATGTCTTGATTTGACCTTGAATGGTCAAGGTGATGATCAGATGTACAATGTTTCCCCTAGAATGCGTAGTTCACAAAATATTACCATGGCCATTTGCAATGACCTTGACCATTACCCTCAGGGCCATTCCAAGGTCAAATCAAGACATCGAAAAGAATTTGCTCTAGCAAAAATGTTGGACAGCACAGTTATGATGTTCATGATATCATCGGTGACCTTGAGCATGACCTTGATCCTCCAAAAATTTCCAAAAGGAACCTCTCATTTCTATACTGGATGAGGAAAAAACAGGAAATTTTAGGGCCGAATGTGACCTTGACCTCAAATAACATTTAAGCTTGAAATCACCTTGACTTTGAGGTCAAGATCACATTCGGACGAAAAAATGTACTAGTTTTTCCAGTTTCAGTTGTGAGGTTTATGGGATCGTCCAAAGGTGACCTTTTGATCGTGACCTTCAAGGCAAAATCAAAATGTCAAATGTGCACCTCTCCTTTTGTACAGGATAAAGAAAAAGAATGAAATTTTACATCCAAATGTGACCTTGACCTCAAATAACATTCAGGCTTGAAATGACCTTCCAGTATGAAAATGTAATTTTTGACCTGACCTTCAAGGCCATGGTCAAGGTCACCTTTGGGTGATCTTCAATAGCCTAAAAACTGTGCTGTCGAACATTCCTGTCAAAGAAAATTGTATCAGATGTCCTGTTTTGACCTTGAAACGGCTTGAAGGTAATGGTCAAGGTCATTACCAAGGTGATGCTCGTACGTAGATTTTGCCTTCTTTTCAATTACGATGTGAAAAGTGGGAAATCCATTCGGAAATATTGACCCGACCTTGAAAAGTCCTTAAAGCTCGTAGTCAAGGTTAACATCATTTTGCCAGAAAGAAATGCACAAAATATCTAGACGCTTTAGAAATCAACAATGAAACAGTCGTGAAAGAGAAGAATAGATACCAGACTCTCGTATCTGCTATAAACGCGTTAAGGATAGCTTGTCGATGTTGATAGGAGTTTTATGGGATACCAAGTTGTTTTAACGGGTTTAAGAAACACTTACCATTCTTTTTACATAGCACGAACAACAATTCCGCGACCAAATCTCTTAGCTGCGTAATCGGAGTCGTAAGTAACCTGCACAGATGGTTCCTCAGCTTGTCTCCTTGTTCCGGTCTCGTGTGTACGTCTTTTAAAGGAGGCAGTATGTGGTGCCTGAGGAATTTTCTTATAGAGCGATTTCCGTTCGCTCCCTTTAGAAGCACTGATACGACTGGAGAAAGTACTTCGTGCTGACTGGACACTTTCTGGAATACGACAATGATGTCTTACCAACGCTTGACAAAACAGCGAGGCAAGGCGTTGATGTAATAACCCCACACGATTAGCCTTTGTTGATGAAGAACACAATTTCCTAGACATTAAACTATTTTTTTGTCAATATATTTTGAATTCTTCCGCAATAAACAGAACAATACTATATTTTCACGTAAAATGGTTCATATACTAAATGATAAAGAAATGTTGCAAGGCGTCGTCGCTAGGTATCATAAAAGATGTGACATTTTATTTAACGTTTTGACTTGATCATGTGAAGAGGTAAATTTTTGCAAAATTATTAATCACTTACAGGTTCGTCGTTGAATTTCGCTTTCAAAAACATAAGAATTTCATAGATCGCCGTCATGTTGTATCCCTCGAATTGCAAAGTTTTAGGCACTTTGCTTTCGTCTTCTACTTTCATGAGCAACGATTCATAAGTCTCGTTCGGCATGTTCGTCAGCAGGTTGACTATGTTGTTGCGTAACATCCACGTTTTTTCCAAACTCGTGGAGGAAATGAGCAAATAGTTTCGCAGAACTTCCACTAAGGTGTAGCAGTTCGCCATCAGCTCGGGGTTATTTTCATCAATATGCACCGTGATGTTGAAAAGGGTCTTCAGTACCTCGCATGCCATATCTATCTGATCGTTCTATGGAACAAGATATGAATAGGATAGGATTGCAGTACCACATACGAGGGTCGTTTCAAAAATAAAATTCGCCTGACAGCCATGCGCAATGGGGCCTTCATCGTCGTCGCCACCAGCTGCGAAAAAATGGCGACTACGTAGAAAAATAGATTAAAGAACGTTTCAAATGTATTCGTTTTTTCAAATAAAAAATCCTCGAGCCGGGAAACCTGATTTTTCAAACAACCCTCGTACCAGTGGCGGCGTTAGACTATACAATATAGACGTCGGTGACATCAGCTTTGTAAGGCCCTTCCCCAGTAAAAAAAAATTAAAATTGAATATATACAGGGTGCCACAACAAATTTTGCGGAGATACGTTTTTCTTCATTAAAAAAGTGCCGCACTTGTATCCGTTTTTTTTTATTTTTACGAAAACAGTGCACTCTAGGAAAAAAACACGAGCAATTATTTGTAGCAAAAGGTAAGATTACAGTTGACGGTGTTGAAGATATTAAAAAAAAATATGTTTTTAATATCTTCATAATTTTATTTTTAAACTTCAACACCCCGTATCTTTTATATGCAGCCCTCTAGGAAAAAATGTTACGTAGAAGACCCTCCTTAAAATGCGATCCTGTGTATGATGTTTCATTTTTGGTCAAGACTTGTGAATAATCCTGTATATATTTGTATTTATCGACTACATAGTCTCAATCCTCTAAAAACAACTTATACTTCACATTATTTCATTCACTAACGATTTTTTTCAACTTACAGACAAAAATACTGTAGGTAGTTTATCAGAGTGCATATGAGTTTCAGCTGCATCTTTCAATATGCCCTCCAAAATTTTCACTAGAATATACTGGAATTCTTCCAATTCTTTACGTTCGGAAGGACACAGTGCTGTTAGAAGAAAGAACAGCTTCATGTCGAAAAATTTAACTTCTTGTGGAAGGTTGGGATCACTGTAATAAGAGGAAAAAGTATTGGGTATTTTTATTCACTCCTATTTACAGAAACCAGCACAAGTTTCTACTTTTCTATTCAATTGAGCCATGATGCTTGAATGAATGAATAGCCATAAACAGCACACATACAAAGATATCATAGATAAATCAAGTTTGATCATTCTCATACTGAAGAACTATTTTACATAATACGAGGGATGTCTCAAAAATATAATTCCCATCACTGTATCTTTGCCGCGCATATTGCTAGGCGAAATCTGGCAACACTGTCATGTTTGTCGGCTCCCCCAACAAGAAGCGCCTATATGCTCATCGCCGTTACCGTCAGGTGCAAAATACGGGCGGCCATCTGACTTTTGCACGCAAAAATATCCTTAAGCTGGGAGTGCAAAAGTGGATTTCACGTCTAATAAATCGCGTAGAAAATAGCGATTTTTGGAACAACCCTCGTAAACTAAATAATTGTGATATGAACTGCTGATTGTGAAACATACTCCTTCTTTATCCTCTCTTTAATGCTCTGAAGGATGCCATTCTGGCAACACCTGTTTGCTATACTTTGGCAATTGAAAACAATGTTACATAAGCTTTTTTGGGCCTCCGTTGCGATGGCAGTATCTGGCATCTGCTGTCCTTGGTCTAAGCCAGATGTTTCTTTTATTAGAGACAACCATTCCTCTGTTACCAATCCGCTCAGTTCCTGTTTCTCACGACTGAAAAAAGTTTCGATGAAGACTTTCGCAACAATAATCATAATAACAAGCTATATTTAGGGCATAAATAAAATACTTTTTTTATAATATTATCTCACATTTTGAGTCAGACGTTATAATTCACCAATTTATTGATTGAATATTAATGCTATCATTAAGCTAATATAGATACCAACACAAACCTCAGAATGCGAATTGCTATAAAGCAATTTTTCAAGTGTTCTTTGACTTGTGTGGTTTTAGCGATATGATATAAAGCTCCCCATAGGTCCTTTCGCTTGTGACCTTTATCCAATTCAGGGAATGAGAAAGACTGGGATTCCTGTTGACAGTAATAAGATTATCAGGACCAAAAATGATTATTATTCGTTATCTTACATTTTTCACAAACTTTTTCAGGCTGTCACTACATTTATCGCCTTGTGTCGCGATAATATCATCAATTTCTTTCATCATTTTGTTAAGTCAAATTATGTTTGTTTACAGTTACAGTCTCGGTTTGCAATGTTTGGGCGTACGGCTGAATCAAACATATTTTGACAAATGTGATAATTCTGACACTTCTTGACAGTAGACGTACCATCGGCCTTCAATCACAAATCACAAAATATTCTCACAAAACAACAAATGTCATGATGGTTTGAAGTGTATACGTTGTTGCATAAACGTGGTTTGGGTCGGTTAGGGTCATATCCAGTGTTGCCAGTTCTGGTGAAATTTCACCAGAGCCGAGCATCCAACAGTTAGTTTTGACCCGTTTTCATATCATGTACATTTACCCTTAAGTTTCTAATAAGCTGTTGACTAAACGACAATTTTTTAAAGAAGTAAAATGATAAATAATTTAGTTCTCTGCAAAATTGTTCTTATTAATTTTTTGCATAGAATGATGGTTTTCGAGATTTTCGACCAGAGTTTATCATAATGGCGGTAAATGCTCCAGCCCTATTATGACGCCAATTTGAAATTATCAAAAAGCAATAACTTAACGATACCACCAAAAAATTATCAGTATCAAAAGTTGTTGGATTTTTGTTGCCGATTTTTGTTTGACATTATGTAGGTTTTTCTACATTCTACAAGAATTTAACTTAGCACTTAGTTATACGTGTTGCCTAAACGTCATGAGGCTTATTATCAATCTTTGGCTCTGATGTGATGTAAAATCTGCTTCTGAGATGGCATTACTGGAGGTCTAAGCTGTAAGTTGTATGTGTTGATGATAATTACATTGGGTTCTTGTCTCAAATAAACTTAATTGAGATTCAAAGCCAGAAATTAGTTGCGCATCCACTTTTTCTTATCCATTCTGGAAATTACATATTCAAATTTGCTGAATTTCAAAAATGAGAGAGATAAGAAATAATTATATTCACTGTACACTGTTGAATTACAAGCCATATACATGCTAACAGTAAAAATAACCCGTCTGGCACAGCCAATAGATATACTTCATTGGCAGCATATTTAGGAATGATTTTCTAACACAGCAGATATCACCGATTTTATATACACATGCAGACCAATACATATAATCATCCAGATGCGATCTTGCTATTCAACCAACTTTCTTCTCAGAGATAAAAACTACAAACAACCAGTGTTGCCAGAGCGAAGTTTAAAATATCCGTCACACGTATCGCAAAATTCCGCTACATGTCGCTACGGTCTAAAAATTTAAGGGGGGGGAGGCTTAAAATAAACAACAAATATATTTTTTTCATATTCACTTTTTTTAAACACTGTCTAAAAACCCTGCTAAAAATACAAACAGTAACATAATATAATTGCAATTTTTCGTAAAAACATAAAAAGTATACCTCTAAAAAAACAAAACTGTCTTTGGTTTAGAAACTATCACCAATATCTTAATTTTAATAGAAAAAAAAAAACAAAAAATAAGGACAAAGAAGAAGCGGAAACGTGGAAATGCCTACGTTTGCTTATTTTATTCACAGTCAGAATCAGAAATTACTTCTACTTCAGCTTGTTCTTCCTTATTTGCAGTATATAAATTCTTTTTATATTTGTTTAAATGATTCTCATTAAAACTATAGGATAAACAGCACTGTTTTTTTGATTCCAAGTCTAATTTAATTGTAAGTAGTGCAGACAAAGTTGATGGTATTATTTTATTTCTTTTTTTTGTTTTGTAATCAAGCATATAAGAAAAAGTTCGCTCAACATCAGCGTTTCCATGAGGCAATGTTAAAATGATTAGAGCCAGTTTACCTATATTGCGAAATAAATATTCGTCATTAAAATTTTTGAGGTCGTTTACAAACGACCAAAATTCAATGACATTACTTTTTGTTTTTAAAATTTCCTCTTTCTCACTATCACTAAAATAAATACATATTTTCTTTAGTTCCAAAATTGTCTTTTCGGTTTCAATATGAAGGGAAATTTTTTTAAAACGGCGTCATGAAAGGTATCAGTTATAATAAGACGATTGTTCATCACATCAACCGGTGAGAGAAACTTTAGCTCTGAAAAGAAGTTGTCTTTGATAGGAAATCTTTTAAGGGACTCTTCTACCGATTTTTGGTAAAATGTGACACATTTTAATTTAAATTGTTCGATTGCCGTGTTATTGCAGTGTTTTATTGCATTCATTGTATGCGGACCAACATACACTTGTTCAGTTGGTAATAAGCAGTGGGGATCATGTTAGATATTTAAGCAGTTTTGTTACTTACCAGTAGATTTAATATTAAAATCTGCAGCAAATGATATATCAATAAAATGATCAACACAAAAATAAGAACACTAATATAAACGAAACTAAACAGTATATACCCAGAGCTAAAAAATAGAATACAAAGCGAGAAACCTAATATTATGTCTGCCTGCTGAGACCTGTTAGAAACGATTAGTATTGAAAGCAGTACGTACGCCATCTGTTATTGAAAAAAAAGGCAAGCGGAATAATGCTCTTCTCTGTTCCTAGATGGCTCAAGCGGCACCAAATGCACCAATTTTATTATTAATGTGATAATAAATCAGACTCTAGCCACTGCCTATTTAGGATTTAGAACGTTATTAACGTTAAAACAGTGAAATAAATATGATAGTTTTCTATGTAATAAATTCCGCTACATTTTGGGCTAATTTGCTCTACCGCCGCTACGCCGCTCTTCTCAAAATAGCGGAATTCCGCTACGTATGGCAACACTGCAAACAACGACCATTTGGCCTCACAGAACGTATGCAACCAATAATGCGTGTAGTTTAGTTGAGTGATTCCTCCTTAGATGGACGTTCACAACGATCCTAGAGAGCAAACGTGGAATGACTGTTTGCGCCCTAAAAACTACCTAGTTTGCAAGATGACAGCTTATAGGTTTTTTTGACGTTTTATAGGTTTTTTTACATGATACCCGTGCCGAAACCTGGACGAGTTGAAGGCGGCAATTCGCGTGGAAGTCGGCCAAGTTGAGAGAACGATGTTCGCCTCCAGCAATGCATCGTCAAAAACGCTCACCATGTGACTGATGAGATTTTCCACTCATTTGTGACAAACGCTATTATTTCATTGTGAATCCGAATCCGTCAATAAATTTGTTTATAAATGACCGATTTTGTGATTTTTTAAAAACCGACCGACGCTTGTGCTGGACCCCGTACATTTCCACGTTCCGCCCTGTACGATCTACGACACCGTGATGCAGCAGCCAGCGGCCGTTTGGCCTTTTGTCTGAGTCACACAATTTGACCCTCCGTATCTTCGGTTCTTCGTACAGCGACGCGTTACCTCGTCGGTATGCGTCTCGTCAGCGGAAACACGCAGCACAGCTTGAGCTTGACTCGAAAAATCACAGACGCTGGTTGCTCTGAACAACGGAAGTGGTACCGGAACGCAAGTGCAAGTGCTCTGGTGATGTGAAATTGCAGCGTAGCTTCGATTTCGGTGCTTGAAAATGTGGAAGTGTGGTGCTAGGTTTAGGTGGTCAATTCTCCTGTTTATTCTGTGTGAGTACTCTGAGATTTTGTAGAAAAGTACGTATGCGTGGAGGTAGTGGCACTTAACCAATGAATGGACTGGTTTGAAGACATTTAATATGAGAACCTGCTTTGATTATATGAATATACACGGTGGCGATGATAAAAAAGACAAACAGTTACTTATCCGGCTGCGGATATCATTAATTGGGTAGATAAAGCTTTATGTTATTGCCTCTTGTTTTTATATCATTATTTGCTAAAATTATTGCTTTTTATTGTTTGCTTGCCGACTCAAGCTGTAGCGATCAAAAGATCTGTATGGAGATACTAAAGGCGTGAATATCAAATTTGTTCTTAGTACTAGGGATTCACGATTTTGAAGCTACTTGAAATCAAGTCAAGCTCAAGTCAAGTCTTAGTCACCTTAGCAATGTAAATCTAGTCAAGTAATTATCTCCTGACACTTCAGATAATTTTTGTAATATAAATACGAGTAGATTGTAAATACACAACGGAAAGACTTTGTGACACGTTACAGAAGAAACTATACATATTGGACAAAATAATTTGTTGATCGTATAATAACGCTTTATTGCTTCTCATATAAATCCAAATAAGAAAACAGTTGTTTCCAGGAGCGCCACAAAACTTCAAACTTGTCGTTTCACTCGTCAATTAGCCACATCCTTGGGAAGAAACTAATCAGTGAATAAATAAAGGTCGTAGTGCGACCTATACTATAACTATCTAAAACTGTAATGACTCATCGATGTTCACGTAAACATCACTTAACTACCAGTAGTCGGCTGTTCATAGGCGGGGTATGAATGTTTAACATGGGTGAACTAGATTTGTCACATGCTTAATAAAGAGTGGTTTGAAACATATTGTAAGTCAAACATTTGGGAATTACCTTTATTCATCGTCGCTTCCACTTACATCTGACAGTAATAAACTGTCGCTATCGCTTTCCTCGTTGAAATTGACTATAACTGGCTCTATGATGGTGTCGATGTGGTGGTCAGGCTGCCACATTTTTGTTTCTTCCTTCACAACATGACGGATAGCATTTTGCCAAGCTTCGGGCGTTACTAGCTGTATGGAAGTCTCAAGTAAAACCTTAACGTCTGGTAATTTGAAGGTTGTGTTATGGCGCGCAATATAACCCTTCACTTGAGCCCAGATGAGCTCTATTGAGTTCAGTTCACAGTGGTAGGGCGGTAACCGCAGCACAGTGACACCACATTGACGGGCCATCTCATCAGTCACGTAACTAATGTTCGCAGGTTTGTGCATGTCACTTTTTCGAGATCCCATAGTCGGTACACGTTCGGATCGACGACTATGGTAGGAAGCATTATCCATGACGATCACAGAGTTGGGCTCAACTCGCTGAAGCACCCCTTGAAACCAGCTCTCGAAGCAGCTGGCATTCATTTCGTCATGGTAATCACCTCCTTTCTTAGAGACGAAAATCAAGTCACACTCTTCTAAAAAGCCACTATCGCTACCAATATGAGTTACGATCAATCTTTGACCTTTCCCTGACGGTCCACGAAGACCTGTTGACAAACCTTCAATGCTTGCTTGTCGGTTACTCACTACGTTTTTGTCTATCCAGGTTTTTTTAACTGTGTGACCTGCATTTACCCATGTCTCGTCCAAATAATAGATTATTCTGCTTTGTCGCCTATATTCAATCATTTCGCGTAGGTATTTTCGACGCCAGGCGACTATTTTAGGTCTCTCTATCAATACTGACTTCCGATTACGCGTTTCGTAACGAAAATTAATTTCGTGCAGGGATTTCCTCATTACCTCGACGCTCATTTGGGGTATAATTTCATTTTCCTTGATCGCTGCATGTACAGCCTTGAGGGTTGGTATCTCATTCCTAAAGAAGAATGAATGTACGGTTCGCCTTAACGCCATTTTGCTATCGTCATCCAATTTAACAGCCTTTCGTCCCTTCAAATTAAACTTTGGATCAGTAGTAGCTCCAGTTTTCTTCTTTGCATGCACCACCCTGCGAATGGTCCACTCTGGAACGCCTGTCATACTTTCACAACGCGCGAGTGCATCTCCCTGCGACATAGTTCTGTCCAGATAATTGAACACGTTGAGCACGATTCCTTTCGCGTCCCTCTTCAGTGCTTTACGAAGCCGTCTACTTGTTCCCTGGCTTTCAGTACTTCCACTCGTGCCATTTGTACTCTCCATGGTTAAGTATAACCAAAACAGTAACCACAGAAACCACGACAATAACAATCACACAACAATTCTTATAAAAACACACAATATGCGATCGCTCAACGAAACACGTTCCAATGCGTTGCCGACGCCTATGAGTCTGCCGGTCGAGGCGCGTCTTTGATTTAATTGGTTCTACCGGCGGAGAACAATCAGCCATTATTTCCATCTCTGTCTGTGCTGTTGACCACCGCAAAGCCACAGAAACGACATATTATGTCGTACGCTATACGGCTCTACTGGAAGGAAGCCGGGATCGAGCTCTGATCACGTGTTGATCACGCGTATGAGTCATTACAGTTTTAAATAGTTGTAGTATAGTGATGTATAGCTTGCGGACAAATGAGTCCATACGAGGGTTGTCTCAAAGATATGGTTCCCAACGATGTATCTTTGTCGGCTCCCCCGCCACCGATCCCAACAAGAAGCGCCCAAAACGTTACCACCCATAGAAATTCATCGACAGTTAAGTGAAGCATATGGGGAAACGTGTATGAACATTCAACATGTCCTCAAATGGTGAGGAGAGCGGCCGTACGATCATCCACAATGCACAACAAACCGGAAGGCCGTCAATGTCCGAGGAAGCTGTGGCGAAGAATGAGTAAAGCTTGCTCGAAGTTTCTAAACGGTCTAAAAGTGGATTTTTCATCTGAAAAATGAGTAGAAAAAATGGCGATTATGGAGGAAAACAGCTTAAACGTTTCCAATGGTGAATTCGTTTTTGTCGCAGAAAAAAATACGGGAACCTTATTTTTGAAACAACCCTCGTAATTACAGCATTGCTAGGACATTCGTATAAAAGAATCATATCACACTGTCCCCCGTCTTATTGCTATCTTTTACCACTGATCAAGTTCAATGTTTAACATTCGATCTTTCTGTGTTATTATTTCGCATTGAAAGCGCTGGAGTACTTTATATTTCGTGAATTGATTGCTACAAATGTTCTAGATACATATGACCTACATAAAAGCTTGTACGTTAACAAGAGGAGATACTTTTGTCATTAGCGGACATTTACACACATTAGTGGACATGATTATCCTTAAAGTACTATTGAAAATAAATGTCAAGGTCACAAAACCAAATCTGCCATTCGGCACAGAAAAGTTACGATTGTATATTATGCGATATACAGGCTGTCACAGAATTAATAGTGAATATCTTGGGTACCAAAAAGTGTGACAATTTCTATTTAAAAATGGTTTATTGGGAGCCCCTACGTAGACACAGGTCCACAAAAAAGTTACTGTGCAATGGTTCTTCTTGAAAACCCTTGAACAAGACTGTAATTTGAACAGTTGACGCATTACTGAAAAATAATGAAAAACAATTAATTCATTTAGATCGTCAGTAATGAACTATGCCTAACGTAATATTGCTATTTTTTCACTCTGCATGATAATGAGCCAAAAATGATATTTTTGGAAAGCTTTATCCTTTGGCTGATAAAAAAATAAACTTCTACAAAAAATGACGTCAAGTAAGCTGACTCTGCACTTCTATCGCAACGCCGTCATCAGTTCATAAAGGATACTGTATAACAATTTTTTATGTACTATACGATGGACTACACATTCTTGGACATACGAGTATTCCATTACCTACCGGAACTAGGCAAAACATTTCCGGATGTCTTCCACTAATCTTTGTTACCAAATTGACACCGACTATTGACTACAAACATCGATCATAAGTTACCAAAGTTCTATATTTATTTTATAGTTAACACATTCTAAAATATATTTCCTTTTTAAGCTTGTAAACTTATTGACGTTATTTTCTATAGGTCTAACTGTAGCAGACTGCGGTTTCAAACAGACCAGGTCATATAGGAACAATAACAAATCCAACGGAGGTGAGTGTTATAATTAGAAAATTCTTTGCATATTTATACGGCACCTATACCACCAATCTATACGATACACTCTAATATGTATGTGGTAATGGATGGAAATAAGGTTTCGTTTTATATTACGCGTACCTAGTACACTAATTAACAACCCGCTACCATTATCTGGTTTGTAGTCCGGAAATTATCACATAAATGCAATGTGAACAGCGTAGAGATAAAATAATAATACGATGAACATTTTGTGTCTCAGCTAAAAGCAGCTGGTGGAAGAGAGTGGGCCGTTTATTTGGACTTGAGAAGTACCTACTTTTCGTCATCCTGCCTTCTCACTTCTCACTCCGGCCTGGAGTACTGCTCACATTTGCGGTGTTTTGCCCCGGATTCATTTCTAATACTTACATGGAATCCAACTGATATCGGTGACAGCTTTTCACCAATAGACAGTATCAAGAGTCCATATGACAGAATGAAGTTATTCGCTTATCGTGTTTCTCTCATTAACCCCGTTCATTTGATACCCATATCATACCGGTGACCATGGTCATTAGAAATCGTCATTTAGCGGCCGCCGCCATATTGGATCTAGACTGACGTCGCTTTGCTTACTATGTTTCCCTCATCAAGTCCTTTCATTTGATACCCATCGTATAGGGGTGGTTATTGGAATTGTAAATCGCTAATCTGAGGTGGTCGCCATATTGGATTCAGAATGACACCATGTTGCTTGTTGTGTTTCTCTCATAAAGCCCTTCAATTTGATACCTATGTCATGGGGGTGGCTATGATAATCATAAACGCCATCTTGGGGCAACATGAAAAATGTAATTCGCCATGTTGCAGCGGCCGCCATATTGGATCTAGAATGACGTCGCTTTGCTTACTATGTTTCCCTCGTCAAGTCCTTTCATTTGATACCCATCGTATAGGGGTGGCTATGGAAATAATAAATCGCCATTTTGCAGTGGTCGCCATATTAGATTTAGAATGACACCACATTGCTTGTTATGCTTCTCTCATAAAGCCCTTCAAATAGATACCTATGTCATGGGGGTTACTATGATAATCTTAAACGCCATCTTGGGGCAGCATGAAAAATGTAAATCGCCATGTTGCAGCGGCCGCCATATTGGATCTAGAATTACGCCACCTCGCTTACTGTGTTTCCCTCATCAAGTCCTTTCATTGGATATCCATCGTATAGGGTTGGCTATGGAAATAATAAATCGCCATTTTGCAGTGGTCGCCATATTGGATTTAGAATGACACCACATTGCTTGTTATGCTTCTCTCATAAAGCCCTTCAAATAGATACCTATGTCATGGGGGTTTCTATGATAATCATAAACGCCATCTTGGGGCAGCATGAAAAATGTAAATCGCCATGTTGCAGCGGTCGCCATATTGGATCTAGAACGACGTCTCTTTGCTTATTATGTTTCCATCATCAAGTCCTTTCATTTGATACCCATCGTATAGGGGATAATGATGGTTCACCATTTTGTAGCATCCGCCGTATTGGATTCAAAATGGCGGCAGTTACTTCATCGAACGTCATATGTCAACTTCATTTGTTAAAATATGTTAGATTTCCATACTACTTCCATGATTTCTTTAAAACTAGAATCAACTGTTCTCACACTATTTTATAATTTCTCCGGAATTATAGGTAACAACGTTTTTTGACAGAAATTTTATGTTTTCTAAGGACTAGCAATTCCAAAAATGAAATAAACCGTAAATATCTGTAGATTGATGTTACACACTATGAAAATTTTGTTCGTCGGCAAAACACCTTAAAACAATGCATCATCAGTAATTACCTCTACTATAGTTATTTTTTGGTACAGTATGCATTCTGAAAGTGTCTTTTCTCTAAGTATTTATAATAATCGCACATCGGTGCAGCTAGTGGGAAAATAACTCGATAATATTAACAGGAAGCCGTACTTAAACGTGTATACGTTAATAAATTACGGCACAGAGGAAGTCAGACGCGTCGGGATACATAAAAGTATTGCATCTACCAAACAGTTATTGACATAAAATGATTTGTATGTGAGTCATGAACTTAGTATATCAGTAATCGTTGGAAAATCACATACTCGTTACGCAGCGTGTACTCTTGAACGATTATCTAATATAAAAAACAAACAAGGCATTCCAGTTCAATTTCGCTAATTTGTCAATTTAGATAAAAAAAAATGGTTCTAATGATTGGATTCAAACCAATGGAACTCGTATATAAAACGTGTTCATTTTACGGAAAATAGTAGGCACACGCTGGTTCGAATTTATGTGTCAAGATCTCAGACATACTATTTATGCAAACACCCATAAAATATATTTATACTGAAACAATATTGTTATACGAAAAGCTAGCGGGGGATCATATATATTTTTGCTTGTTTTGTGGCGTCCTTAAACAGTATCTTAAAAATATTTAGATCATCGGATAAGGATGTGTTTAAATAATAAATCTTAATTTGATTCGAGAATAAAATTGTTTACACGTTAAGCTGCACTTCTAAACATTGTAGTATTGCCGAAAATTATTCCCAAGAAGAAGTGCGGAATGATGGTCTAGTATACAAGCTCATATTTGGATATAGTATATCTATCGTTCGGGATTCCATAAACATACGAGCGTTGTCTCAAAGATAAGGTGCCCAGGAACAAGGAATTTTTCATTTGAAAAAACGAATTTATCATTGGAAACGTTGATCTTTAAAAGCCGCTCCACACTCACGCGAAAATCTTGCAAATAATCTCGGCAAGAATCTCGGCGAGAAATAATTCGGGTTCACACTCGCAAGGTGTGAATTTCGCCGATCTTCGAGCAAGGTTTTCTGAATCTTCCAAACAACTTCCTCGAGGATCGACGACCTTCCGCTTTGTTGTTCATTGTGGATGGCGGCCGTCAAAGAACTCTCTTCACCACTTAAGGACATGTCGAACTCTTATACACGTTTCCCCATATGCTTCACTTAAATGGCGATGCATTTTTAAGGGGGAAAACGTTTTTGCGTGCATGACCACACCAGTTTCGTACCTGGCGCATGGCTATCGGGCCTGTACTGAGCAAATGGCAAATAGGCGTCTCTACAGTATATTCAGATAAGAGATAGACCGGACATAAACAAGACCACGTGATCATCGAACGCTGTAACATTCGGCAGGGACGTATTAAGAGTCACGCAGTACATATTTTAGATAGTAGATGCTGCTTTGCGTAACTTTGTAGTAAATTAGCACAATTCGATGTGTATACGATTGGTGATGGATATAGGATCATGTGGGGGTGGTGTAAAAAATATATAATGATGTAAATATTCATAAGGGTTTCAAAATTTTCGCTTCGATTTCCAGCTTCGGATGCCGCCTGATGTTTGGTGAAATACAGTCGAATATAATCTCAAAATGGCGTTTAAATTAGCCTAAATTAAAAATAACGTATATCTCTTAAAATTGCTTTTAGAATATTGATTAGTATATTTTTTGATTTCTAGGTAAATATGTAACCAAATTAAAACGTTCAAAACGTAAAAAAAATGTGAATGGTTGAACATTGTCAGAAAGTAGATTCTTGAATAGGTTTTGCCAAAATGGGTTCAAAAATGTCAATAATTAATTAAAAAATACAGTAGCTTTATAATTACTTATAACTTACCAAATTTGATGAACGACATCTTTTATTGGAAAGATGAGCTTGATGAGCTTTCATCATCGCTACTGCCTGAAGCACCAACGTCAATAATGAATGGCTCGACTTGTTCCTCTAAAATATTGTCCAGTTCCCACATTCTCTTTTCAACTTTGTCTTTCACGTGCTTAATACAGTTTTCCCATTTTTGCGCTGTTATTAATTCTAGTGCTTCTTTGAAAAGTCCTTTGAGGTCACAAAATTTAAAAGTTGTATTGTGCTTATCTATATAATTTTTAACCTCTGCCCATATGAGCTCAATGGGATTGAGCTCGCAATGGTATGGAGGTAAACGGAGCACAGTTTTATTTTGACTTGCTGCCATTTCGTCAATGGCGTATTTTTGATATTCCGCCTTCTGATCCTTGACAATTCTTAACAATTGTACTTTCAGCATTGCTTCTTCAAAGTTGATATTTTTCGAGCGGAGCCAATCTTGAACATCAACTTTCCTTGAAGCCGTTGTTGGGACCTTCTCCATTCTTCGAGAATGATAAGGCGCATTATCCAACACAATTACTGCGTTTTCCTCTAAGTTCGGTAAAATTTTTGAAAACCACTGTTCAAACGATTCGCCATTCATTTCCTCGTGGTAATCTCCAGTTTTCTTAGACTCAAAGCACCACAGACCGTCAACAACAAATCCATCCTCACTGCCAATATGGCAGATAATGAGCCTTTTCCCTTTACCTGGAAATCGAAGTACTAACTGGTGTAGATTTATTTCAATAAGCGAAACTTTTTCAAATGTTTTCATTACATTCAGCGAAAAAACATTGAGACATGAGTATCAGATTGCTATAATTGGGATTATTTAGTCATATTGAAAGAAAGAATATTGAACGTCGTATGATTACTCAGCGCTTCACAATTTAATTTAAAGTTATAAACCTTTAAAAAATGAATGATCAGGAACCTGAAATACGCGCAAATATTAATATTAACAAATTATAACTTTATAAAGCTTAAAGTATGAATTAAAATGATTAGAAATATTAGGAACGGTACACAATATAAAACTTAGTAACTTTTTTTAAGTTAATAATGTTCGACATATTTTAAGATTATATTAAAAAATTATTGAAATATCGAAAACACATAAAAACATGGCTTAAAAAAGTTCTAACAAATGAAAATGACAATAAAACATCCACGCATTTTATCGAAAGTTATAAAAGTTTTGTTACTTGTAATATGTTTTATCTACCCCCTGGAATTAATGTTTAGAACCTTGTTCCCAAGGTTTGAAAAACATCCGATTGTTGTCTATTACTCGTATTTACCTGCTGGATTTTTTAATCCGGTGAACAGTCCATCTAGAAAGGCCCTCCTGGATGAAGTTACAGAATCATCAACCCATACTTTACTTGTAGTGTGTCCTGCGTTTACCCACGTTTCATCAAGGTAATAAATCTTCCTGTTTTGATTTCTATATTTCCCAATTTTTGTTAAATAATCCCTCCTCCATAGCACAATTTCTTCTCTATCCATTAGTAAACTATTACGACCCCGTTTTTTCCATTTGAAATTTAAATGCTTCAGTAACGCATGGAAAGTTGATCGTTTGAAATTTGGCAACGTTGTATCTCCATTTACCTCCTGCAGTACTTTATCTATAGTAGGTATTTCATTCCTAAAGAAGAATTCATGCTCTTTCCTCCTAATCGCATGCTTATCAGCTTCATCCAATGATTTAACAATACTTTTGCGATGTTTACTGGTCATTGGCTCAGAAAAGGTGTGATCTTTTTGTATTGTCTTAACACATTAAACACTGATGCGCGACACACCCCAACTTTGTGAGAAACCTTCACAACAATTTCTTTGATGGTTGATGCCTCGTTCTCCTCGCGCTCGATCTTATATATATTCAAAATGACCTCTTTCATTTCTGCACTCAGGTGTCTTTTTTTAGAGCGTTTCCTAGGTGGACTACAGGAGTTTACAACTTCATCGGCAGTATCTGTACTACTGGGCATTTTGCGCAAGCAGTTGATAATAATAACAATCAATAACAAGGTATAACAATAACAACGACAAACTCAACAACTCAATAAGATAACAAACGAAAACGTCCAAAGAAATATCAAATTGCAATGATGCACACGACATACGTAACACGTCTGAACCTGAATGTGACTCTGCCTTGATACGACTGCTCTGCCGCTCGGCATAGGCATTTAATTGCGAATTGACCAATGAGGGCTAATGTTTTACGTCGAGACGGCGGCGTTAGCGTGAAAATCACCCGAACCTTTTGTTTACATCCGGTCTATCTCTTATCTGAATATACTGTAGGGATCGGTGGTGGGGGGAGCCGACGAACACGACGGTGTTGCCATATTTCTCCTAGCATCACGCGCAGCAAATATACAGCGTTGGGAACCATATTTTTGGAACAACCCTCGTAGAAACTACCACAAACTCCTGTTGCTTCCATAGTAAAATACAATGGCAACTAATCATGACAATCGTAGCAAACAACAAACAAATTCTTGTGTGTTGACTCTTATCTATAATGATTGTTATAATATGTTACACATGCATATATACAGGGTGCGTCGTACCTATTCGGACATCGTATGGAGGATCTTGAATTAGTTTTCACGGATATACAGGGTGATTTATCTAAATACGCCAAATCTTTAATATCATACATGTCAAACACTATTAAACCGGTTTAGTTGACATTTTGAACGATAACAAAGTTAACGTAAATCTAGACAGGCGCCTAAAAACCCAGGGGCGGACTCGTTCTTTCTTTCCACGCCTTTTGGCGGGGAGGTATTGTGATCGTAAAAACTTTCTAAAATGAGACATTATGTTTTTTGGATTTACACGAGAAATACCGCTCGGATTTTGATAAAAATGTTACTACTACTCCAAGGAGAAGAAAGTTTTGTGTGTTTATAGGCAGGAAATATAAGCAACTAAAAAACTGAATCCGATCATGGAATTTTGAGTTTTCTAAATATTTTTGGTTCACTTTTAAGCATTAATTTGGTAAAATATTAATAAAACGAATTTGACCAGTATGGATGTTTGAGTTTTGTGTCACATATACAGCTAAACAAGATAAAAATAAACTAAAAAACAAAAAGACTGATCTATTTTGCTAATCAATTAGCACTATTATGTGGCTTTTTGTGTGCATAGCCAAACATTTCAATATCCAGCGTAAAAGGAGTTGATTGTGATAAACAACAAAAAGGGCATTCCGGCCCTGAATTTTTCAACTATTTGTCTAGTTTTACGTCACTTTTACGTAACTACTTTTTGTTCAGGGTGCCTGAGATATCCGTGAAAGCTCACTCTGAAACTCGATCCACACTACCTACCATTTCACTATGTCACACTAGGCTTACACCCTGTATATTGTCACGACTGTGATGTGGGGGCAAGTTTGCTTTGGGTTGTGGACACTCGCTGGAATGGAGGCTCAAAAAAAATATCAAAGTGTATTATCAAAACCCCGCGCAAATAAAAGTACAATAAAATGAAACAGGTACTTACTTTTTGGCCCAGGAAGGTCCAGATTCAGCCCGAGCGCTCCCAGGGCAGGAATAATCCCACGTTTTGGCCCACAAAGTTTTTATAAAGCGATAGAACCCCCTTTGGCAACGAATAATCCACCTTTGCAGATTATGCATTATTTGTCGACGATTTCTGAGCGGATGCGGTTTAGGGTATCTATCGACCTATATGGCGCCTAGGTGGCACGTGTAAGGCGCTACAGAGTGATCAACCTTGATGCGAATGCCTGTTGTAGCATTATTGTGCACCACAAGTTTACTACAAAATGAGGCAAATCGAAAGTCCTGAGTAATTTGAACTTGCATCGTTATTCTGCAACTGTAATGAAATAAACCGGATTTCAACCATAGGATTATAGATGTAGCTTCACTCGAGCACTTTTGTTTACAGGTCCTCCTGAACTCGAGCAGAAGAAATGGGAGCCCAGCAACTGGAAGACTATCCTGATCGTAGTCGCCAGCGTATTGTTCGCGTTCGCCATCATTTACGGAAGCAATTGTTTTTATGTTTGTAAACTGTACATGTGTGGACAATCCGAAAAGAAATATTCCAAGATGGACTCCTGCACGAACGTTTGACGTGCCTTTGTCTTCTACCTAATTAATTTTTGTGAAAAATTGATAATTATTAGGTTATTGGTTTTCATGATTGGGTGGTTTTTATGTTTCAATCACCTGCAAGAATGTTCTTTCCTTTTACAATATGTGTTCAGTAGATTTAGCCTAATGAATACAAATTAAGCAAATCAGGGTTAAGCTTGTCAGCAAAGGTAATTGCTTAACTACAGTCAGGTACAAAAATGGAAGAGAGATTAGGCATTGGGAGAAATACACACTACTCTAGCAGTGAGACACAATGACACTATTGTGGTACTTAACTATATAATTTCAGTGCTAACGGCTTCTAGTTTCTGTAAGGTGCTTTTCAAAAAGGCCGGCAACTTATTTTTTGAACGGGTCAAGTAAGCGAGCTGTATTTTGGGTTACTGAAATTTTGCGTAAAAAGCAGTTGAACGTTCCAATATGGCAGCTTGGAAACATTTTTTTAGATAAAATGGTAGGTCGTGTTATACCTCATTAATAAGCTGCTCATGAGTCCTTTATAACCCTAGAATGCAAAACCACTGTCACTATCAAAAACGGCCGCCCTTCCGGCGTAGAAAGTCGTATGTAAATTCCCTCAGTACAAAGATGAAAGCGGTGTTGCCTCGTAAAAATTATACTATTCCGATATGATCTGGTGTAGTTTGTGTGAACCAATAAAAAGCAATATATCCAAAAAGAAGCGGCGAAGTATTGATGACTAATTATTTATGAAAAAGTTTCTATGTGGGAAAATTGTCAAATTAATTCAGCCATTTATTAAAATAATTTGGGCGGTACTTTTTTGAAAAGCACTGCATATTTGTCGTTTAGGCAATTGCTAGAAGCAAATGCTGTTGTTTCATGACATCTTCAATTTTTTTCTGCAGCACTTCCATCTGATGAGAGAAAACAATTGCTTGATATTTATTAATTGGGCTTGTGTGACCCAAATGTTAAACATGTACTCGCTGTATCACTGCCATCTATCTTCGAATTTCATTTAATTCAAACAAACTGAATTAAATTGAGATTCTCGATTAAATAAGTAAATGGGAACCTACTATATTTTATATACTAGTAGGTAGAGTGCTAGTGGCACGCAGGATTAACAGCACGTTTTACATTTTTAGTAAAACGGAAAATTGTAAGGATATAAACGTAAAAGAAGTTTGCTTTTTCACTGGTATTACACGCTGAGTTTGGTAACCGAACGTGAACCTGAACATACGCATTGTTGAACGAATAAGTTTGGATCCAAATATCCGAAATGTTAAAGCAACATCGATCTAAGAAAACAGAAAACAGAGAACCGTCTAGAACCTGCGTTGTTCAAGACAAGTATAAAAAACTTGATGTTACCACAGAATAAGTAAACCAGAAGTCTCACTCAGGTAATTTCCCTAGTGGAATTTTCACTCTCTACTATTTTATGAATCCATCAGTGTGTAATACCAGTGAAGAATAAACCTGACTTTTTTATGTTGAAGCAATATTTGCTCTTTTTAGATGTGTGATATTTTTATACACGTAAGCTTAGAATTTATGCTAAAAGTTGGATGGTGTCCGAACCGAGATATTTAAAATGGCGCTTTCCTTCGAATCACATCACTAATTTCCGCCTGCAAAATTGTACCTACGGGTGAAGGAAAAGGCGATTTTAGCAATACATTTATTAATATACAATTATACAGAATTTGCTGATATACGGCCTTGTTGCAAACAAAAAATTACAGTGCTATTTCTTGAGGTGTGTATGTAATTTCAGAACAATAAGTGACGCCGAAAATGACGTGATTATATTATAACTACACAGCAATATTGAAAACACCTATTTGAAGTTAATAAATTGGACACCTGTAGTCATATCAAACATAATATAGCAATATTAGCAGTTGTGATGGAGTAGCTATCATTATAGGTTATAGGTATATATATATATAAGGTGAAAAATTAAAGCTTCCGCCTTTTGTTGGGTACTTCGACAAAATTTAAGCAAAGAGGACTCTTTATACTTTTTTTAATTCTCTCTAGCTTTCAATGGACTTTGCCATCATCATCAGGAGCTGCAATTACAATGATAACAGTAGCAACAAAAGTGTAAAATGAATTTAAATTGAATCAACTTACAGTAGTATGTGAGGATGTTGCTAATTGTTGTTTTCGTATAGGATGAGGGAAACGTCCAGTAACATGGTGAGAGCTGGATACATGGTACAATGGTTAAAATTATGTAAAATATGACAAGACAAGTTAAAGACAGATTAAAAATTATTCATCTGAAGTGATTTGGCAACGTTTTGGCACACGCCCACAATTCGTTCCATCTTTCAACATAGACATTGACAACCTTCGGCCTTCTGTCAAAGGTTCATCTCTCTCATTATTCCATGACCACCATTTTGTGCAATCATCAAGTGGCTTCACGACGTAATGCTCTAATGTTTTCTAAATAATTTTTAATCTGTCTTTAACTTGTCTTGTCATATTTTATATAATTTTAACCATTGTACCATGTATCCAGCTCTCACCATGTTACTGGACGTTTCCCTCATCCTATACGAAAACAACAATTAGCAACATCCTCACATACTACTGTAAGTTGATTCAATTTAAATTCATTTTACACTTTTGTTGCTACTGTTATCATTGTAATTGCAGCTCCTGATGATGATGGCAAAGTCCATTGAAAGCTAGAGAGAATTAAAAAAAGTATAAAGAGTCCTCTTTGCTTAAATTTTGTCGAAGTACCCAACAAAAGGCGGAAGCTTTAATTTTTCACCTAACTGGTCTAGACGACAATGACCACGTCTCAATATATATATATATATATATATATATATATATATATATATATATATATATATATATATATATATATATATATATATATGTATTTTTTTATGAACAGGAATTAATTAAAATACTGCCACGCCACTGCATTTTGTGCAATTTTGTTTTTTGGATTAAGCAAATAGAAATACAACTTTTTTCGTATCTTTCTTACTTTTCGAGAAAAGAATGCCACTTTATTGCATAATCCTGGACCACAAGAAATACGGGGAAACGTTTCTTTTGAAAATTAGTTTTTTTATAATTATTTATTACTGAATATGCTAATGTTATCCAGTATTTGTTGTTGTTACATAAATAGTAATTAAAATTAAAAAAAATAATTATTTCCAAATGAAACGTTTCCCCATATTCCTTGTATGGTTCATGTATGGAATATGCAATAATTAATTAGTAATGAAAAAATAAAAAAAAAATTCAAAAGAAGGTTTATTCCATTTTCCTTGTGTGGTCCAGGGATATCGAACTAACCAAGATACGAAAAAAAATCCTGACACACAAAAGTTGTATTTCTGCATGCTTAATCCGAAGGATATCATAAAAATTGCACAAAGGTCAGTGGCGTACAGTATTTTTGTCACAAATATTCGTTCAGATCCCGCTCAAGACGCCACTGGACTTGATAAATTGAATCAAGTTATTGCTGAATTAGCTCCTTAATATTATAAATACCACCGCCAAATCACAACAAAATTAGATAAATATATATACTTAAGATATTTACGAAAAACATTTTTTTTTAATTTAGGCCTATAATTATATGAACTTTTTGTCTTAAAATTACTCAAAGAGTCGTCTGTTAGATTTATCGTTCATATTTAATCAACACCCACCCTGTATATTATGTCAGGACATGTGAAGAACAATGTATAAAGGTGATTTTGTGTAAAAACCAGTATATTTGAGCGAGCACAGCAAAATATATAATACTACTCTTTAAAACATAACTACTATATTCATCTTACTCCATTGTACTTTTGTCATACAAAATATGAATTTATTAGCTATGTTCAGCTTTGAGGAATCAAGAAATATATTTTTTATTATTAAAAAATCTTTTGCATCTTTTTTTAAATCCCATTTATAATGATTAGGCTGTATTAGAGCTTCATCAAAAATTGTTCAAAGACACGTTTGATTTCAAAAAGGCACGGTTTACTTTTTAATCTCCTAGCAGTACCAAGTGATTGTTTAGGGAATATTTATTATGTTCACATATTTGTACTATAGTATAAAATAACTTTAGATATTCACGATAAAGGGTTGTGGTGCAAAAACTACCATTTTTTTTGGGATTGGGACTTCACAACTTCAACTGTATGGTACGCAGCTTATATGAAGCAATGTAAATGTCGGTATTCAAAACAACTCGTTCATCAATGATAGTGAAATGGATAGTATAATATAAAGGGTACAGGGGAAAAAAGATGAATGTCGCAAATTTGGTGTTTTGTAGTTAGACCCGGCAACATGTAGTCTAACGCATCACGCTCCCGTGAGGTATCGGAAACACGCAAAACAATGACAGTACGTAGTTATACCCAATTGCAAACTTGTCGTTTTATGAAAAAAAAGATGAACATCCACTGACCGTCACCGAAACTACTAGCTACTACAACAATTTACCATACACCAATCTGTGATGAAAGAAATAAACGTTAACTAATCATTCTTATGCAGTTACCGTTAATTTTGTTTGTTCTATATTCTTTTGAATAAAGATTTTTTTGGATCACTGATTTTATTCTTGTCCTGGTTCTGTGTTCGAGCTATCGAGGTTAGAAAATCACCTTTTTCTCATGTTCCAGGCCCTGTGTAACAAATTTCCTGTTAAGTTAGTTATCATATCAGAACAGATCGTAAAACCTGAGATAGGCATTTTACTGGTTAACCAACCCTAGGATTTTACAGGGTGTCACATATGACGAAAGGCTCATTCCTAACCTCAATATCTCAAAATTCAGGCATGGACGCTAAAAAAAAAGGATTGTCCATTAAAAAACGTTTGGTCTGCTTTCACTTTTGGGCTACCCTGTGAATCAAAAATATTTTTGTTTATAATTTTTTCAATTTTTTATAATACGGAATCTACGGTACTCCGTCGGATCGTTGACTCACCCTGTACAACGAGTCTTTTAAATTCACTTTTATCGAAACTTATTTTTTGAGACATTCATTTTTTTCCTCTGTGCCATCCGTACGTTACTGCTTTACTATACTGTATAATGTGAGAGTGCAAAAATTTCATTTGTTCAGAATGCTGTTGTTTGCATGCGACGTTTTAGAAGAATCAGTACATATTTATCAAATATTTCGCACCTGGGTTATTTTTAGTAAAATCGGTATACCACTGACGCTGTAATGTACGAGTATACGAGAGAGAGAGATAGAGATGAGCGAGAAGCATGCAATACGTGTGTTAGAAAGAGATGCAAGCTCCTCGTTGCCTAGCAACCCGAGTACAAGGTCACGGATGCCACCGGCGCACTCTGTCTAACATATATATTGCACACTTGTTTCTCGTACACATTACGACATCAGCCAAATTTGAACATTACCGTATATGTATAATAAATAATTACAGAATCATATACCTTCTGCACATATATACTAAATAGTTCGCTAATGCCGAATATCTAGTCAGTACAGGGTGTCCGCAAAGTTGGGGTTTTCCTTTACACGACGTGTAGTTCTTGAAAACATAAGCAATTTTTCTTAGTACCATATACACCAGTGTCTTAAGGGAACCGAGATAAAGGGCTCTGCAACATCCAAAATATCTGAATACCGTCCTGTAGCCGCGACATCCCCGAGTGGTACTAGGACACTAGCTCAACCCGACGACAGTACTGGGTCGGGGTCAGCGTGTCAGGTCAGTATGCAACCTTCAACCGACGGTTATGGTCACGCGTGTAGAGGTAAACGGACCCGTATAATCGATTGCGTTTCAAAAAACAACAAGCACTATAGACGTGGCTAGAGAAGTGCAAGTATTAAAAACTGAGGTGTGGCAAACGCTGCGTGAAGAGGGGCTGTATCCGTTTCACGTCCAACGTGTACATGCCCTTCAACCTTACGATTTTCCAGCAAGAGTGCGGTTTTGTTGCATCAACATGACAATAATCCGGACATTTTGAACTGCATATTGGTGACGAATCTACGTTCACGCGTAATGGGGTGAATAACTTTCGCAACACTCATGTTTGGTCAGTAGAAAATCCGCACGCTGTCCGTCGGGCACATTTTCAACAAACATTTTCGGTGAATGTTTGGGCTGGCATGGTGAACGGTATGCTCATTGGACCATTTATTCTCCCAAATCGATTGGACGGGATGCATTACCTAGACTTTTTACGCAACATTTTGCCTTCCTTGTTAGAAGATGTGTCATTAAGTGTAAGACAATCAATGTGGTTTTTGCACGATGGTCATATTTGTTACCTCTGTTCGTGGTCTGCACCACCGCCGGCGTCTGCTTGGTAGCGCATCAGCTGATTTCATTTTCTGTTGGAGCGGTATGATTTCGGGCAGAGACGTACTTAGCCCTTCTCGTCGATGGGAGAGTGAGTACTTTTTCCTTTATTTTTTTTACTTCGTCGCCCTCGTTTCACTACACATTACCTTTGTTATTTCAAGGGTAGTTATTTCTGAAAAGGAAAACCCCAACTTTGCGGACACCCTGTATTTATGCTAAGTGAAAATACATCGACATGGTGATAGAGAGAAGTCAGAAATGGGAACTGCCGATGATTATTTGGAGACAAAAGAAATTCGAACTATTCATTTCAAATACACAATACTTGATCTAGGTGTCTGTTGCCACTGAAAAAAATTCAAACATTGATCTTATATGTTATGAGTGAACAATTTGGACGAAACATTTATATCTTTAACTTGAAATGCGACGGAATTAGGACTAGAACGCTGCACATTTGCCTAAAAATTGACTAGCTAGTGAATATTCCGGTTATAGATCCTCATGTAAAAATTTTCTTTGATGAGTTTACACTCGAACAGTATTATACTCGTGCGGAATTCAGAGTTGCCAGTAGTCCCAATGCAGCCATCAGTATGAGGTTGAGATTCATTGCAGATCCACCTGAAATAATCAAACTATGAGTCCTTTCTCCACACTTGAATTTCCATCTAATTTGATATTTAGGTTCGATATTACAACAAAGTAATCTACAACACAAAACTAGGGTATTTTAAAATAAAAAAAATTTCCAATATTATATTTCCTATTAATCCTGAGCTATAAGGGAATCTAGACATCTGCCTCTTCCTAGCATCCCGATTCCTGTGTTATTTTCTATACGAATAATCTTTGCTCATTCAAATTATGTATCTACTAAAATTAAGAGCTTTTCATCAATATAAGGCATTACTAATTCCGAGCTATATTTTTCACCCGGTTGTGGATTGAAATGTTTAAATATCAATATAATTTAAATTCCTTTCTCTTGCGTATTTTGGGGATCTTCGTGTCGACTATCGACGCACCACCGGTTTTGTCTAGTTTATTTTCTTGGAAAACCGTCTACCTACCGTATGACCGCTTGACGTCGATTGGCTACACGCACATTCCATCGTATGCAATTGTTTTTCGGTAGCTCTGCATTTTGCAAGGACTCAAAACAGGGTTGCCAGGCGCGCCGAATTTTCGCCAAAGTGGCGATTTAGACGGTTTCAAATGGCGACTAAAATGGATAACTTGCCTCGTATCCAGCAAATTGGCGATATCTGCCGATTTTTAAAATTTCTGAAGCCACTTAATTTGTAATCTCTTTTTGCCGATATAATAATAATAATTATAAATCGTCTTTATTTAGGTGGCGAAGTTTAGCATAATGCTACTCTGCCACTAACCCCCCCCCCCTCCCAAAAAAAGAAAAACTGAAAAGCAATACAAAAAAAAATAAATACATTTGATAGGTTACAAGTTTAAAAATGTAGGTTTATAAAAATATGATGTATATAACATAATAATTTATGAGTTAAAAGAATAAAATTGTAACAGTTAGGAATACTATATTGAAAATATTTTTGTCTGAGGTGACAGATAAATTTTATCAACTAATTTATATACTTCTAGGTATTCAAAATAAATTTCTTCATATGTCTTTTAAATTCATCATATGATAGCAATTTTGTGGATTTGTAAAAAATAATTGTATAGATTAATGAAACATGGAAGATCTGTGCTCTAAGCACAATGGACACGTGTCTAACAACCCCTTCCCCCCATATCCTCACCGCTCCCCTCCCTTTTCAAGGAATTGTTTATCATATAATATAATATTATTGTGTCTCTTCAGTTAACAGTCAGGCTACTACCCCCCCCCCCCCTTCTGCAAATTCATTCCAATCTCTAGCCTGGCGTTATATGGTTGACTCCTAGTTATTTCACAGTCGGCGATTTCTGGCGATTTTCTTATCAAAACTTTGCGACCAACGTGACTGAAAATCTGGCAACCCTGGCCCGTAAGGCTAACTTTTTAGTCACTTTTTAAGGAAGACCCGTGCCTTTTGTCATTATCTCGGGAATAAACGATTATATAATTAGTGCATAAAAATTGCCGCGTTGTGGATATTATATATACGAGTATTTGTTGTAAAGTCGAAGTGCCTATCAGGTAAAAGGGGGATAGTGAAAGTGGAAAAGTTCGAGCATAGACTAGCCGCGAAAAAAAATTAAACGTTTTAAATATTGTGTATATGTGCTGGTGTGGAGTTGAAGACGTAAGTTGGGAGTGAGAAGTTTGTGATTTTGAAGAGTTCGGAGGCAGTTTTGGATGGAAAAGGTAAGTTCGAATATTTCTGAGGTTTGGCGCGATTTTGTCGGTAATTTATATCAATAGAGGGTACTGTTGCGTCTTGTAAAACTTCGGATTTCACTTTTTTTTACTTGAAACTTATAGAGGATAGTCTGATAGATTGTTTTAAATCATAAAAAATGTGGATGAAGCACGCTTTTCATGAATTTTTTTCCAAAACATCGCATTTTTACCAGTTATTTCCCCCATTATTTCCACCGCCATCTACCAGAGGCGCTTGCCTGCGGTGTTGCCGGATCGGGCTCCGTATTTAGGAAAAATATGAAAAGTGGAAAATTTATATACATTTATATTAATTAATGAAACACAAAAACAAAAAACTGATACAAACAACAGTAGTAAAATTAAAAGTTATTCTTACTATATATATATACTAAGTGACGTATAAATCCGAACACCCAGTTTAAATGGTTTTATTTTAATAAAAGTTGGTGAATGTATTTATCTTACTGTAAATAACAAGTGAAAAAATTTTCAGCCTTATCAGTTGGACATTCCGGTTTTTATACTGCTTTTTTTTAATTCACTAACGCTCTAAAAATGAATATTTTAGCCGCAGTAAAGAATCAACGTTGGCGGATTTTGGTTCCTGACATCCTTTACGATCGGTTACGATGCCTAGAGTACGGAGACCTGTACGATTTCGTCAACTTAGTGAGTTTGATAGGGGCCGTATAGTGGGACTTCGGGAAGCTGGACTTTCTTTTCGGGCAATTGCAGTTAGAGTGCAAAGAAGTGTAGACACTGTAGTTAGGTGTTGTCAGGCATGGCTTCGAGAAGGCCGTACGCAAAGAGCAAGGGGCACTGGACGCGGCCGTAGAACAACAGACCGTGAAGATCGCCGCCTAAGATTATTGGCCTTAAGGGACCGTTTCTCCACTACCAGGTCCATTGCAAATGAATGGTTTGCAGAACACGGAAGACCTATTGGCATGCGAAGTGTTTACCGACGAATGAGAAGTTTTGGCTTGTTTTCATACCGGCCACACTGGGTCCTCCCTTTAACTCGAGAACACCGACGTAATCGCCTTGAGTGGTGCAGACAACGGTCACTCTGGGATCAGGAATGGAACAGTATTGTCTTTAGTGACGAGTCTCGATTTTGTTTAGGCATTCACGATGGTCGTGCCAGGGTTAGAAGGCGACGTGGTGAAAGGAGGAATCCACAGTATATTGTTGAAATACATGTTCATCACACTGTTGGAGTTATGGTTTGGGGTGCTATAGCTTATGGTTCCAGGTCACCTTTAATCTTCATCAGAGGTAACATGAACGCGCAGCGTTATATCCACGAATTTCTAGAACCCCATCTTTTACCCTATCTTGACACCCTGGCAGATCCAACTTTCCAACAAGATAATGCCCGACTACATGTTGCAAGGGTCACAATAGACTTCTTTCAACATAATGATGTCACATTGTTACCATGGCCACCAAGATCTCCCGACTTATCCCCAATTGAGCACGTGTGGGATATGATGGGTAGGAGATTGCTCAATTTGCAACGTCCTCCTCAGACTCTAGAAGCACTTCGAGAGGAGTTGGTGGTTGCCTGGAATGAGATACCAGAGGAGGACATTGACCACCTGATCAGAAGCATGCCTAGGCGCGTTGGAGAATGCGTAGCACATCAGGGTGCATTCACACATTATTAAAGGTCAAAGGGCTTTAAAGCAGTGCAATCATTTTGAAATTTTTATCATTTACTTATTATGCTTCATTAAGTACTTATACAAAATTTTATTAAACTAAAACCATTTAAACTGGGTGTTCGGATTTATATGTCACTTAGTATATATATGTATAAAACAAAAAATAACAAACAGTAAAATAAAAAGCAATTTGGATGGAATGAAATTGTTCTTCGTTTTACTACTGTTTTTACTTTTTGTTTTGTGTTGTCACATTGAATTGCTTTTTATTCAACATGGAATTTTTTTTTGTTTTACTACTGTTTTTATTTTTTGTTTTTGATAATCACTTAGAATTGCTTTTTATTTTACTGCTGTTTGTTATTTTTTGTTTTTTATAATTACATGGTATTAGTTTTTGTCTTACCACTGTTTTTATTTTTTGTTTTTTATAATTATTTATGATTTATCATTTTTTAGCTTACTACTGTTATTTTTTTATTAATACTTATTAGGAATCGCCTTTCACTTTGCTACTGTTGTTTGTTTTAGTTTTTCGTTTTTTTGGATCATTCATATGTATATGTATATAAATTTTCCACTTTTCATATTTTTCCCTAAATGCCCATGCCGGCAACACCGCAGGCAAGCACCTCTCAGATATGACATGCGCACAGACGACTACGTCATACGGCAGATAGATGGCGGTGGAAATAATGGTGGAAATAACAGCTAAAAATACAGTGTTTTGGAAAAAAAATTCATGAAAAACGTGCTTCGTCCACGCTTTTTTTGTTTCTAAATAATCTATCAGACTACCTTCTAAAAGTTTTAAGAGAAAAAACAGTGAAATCGCAACAGCACCCTATAGGCTGTCAGTATAAGTCTCCAAAATAGTCCAGCAGAGCCGTAGGTGGCTACAAGTTGTACAACAACCTAACCTAACATAACCTAACTATTCATCTTTCAAATATGATCGATCGTGCAACATGAAAACATCGCCTAACTTTGTCGGATATATGCAAATTAGCAATACAGTTTGTTTAGACAATAAAATTCTGTTTGTCTCTGAAACTTCATTAGAAATATTCCTACAAATCGCTGTCGTTAGTCTTTGCTACGGACTAAAATGATGACGTAATCGTCATCTTTCGTGATTTTGACAGAGACTGGACGTCAGATATCCAGATGCTCTGCCCTTGTGGAATCCCAAAAATCTCACTTTGAGTGTAGATGTAACGTACGTAACCTCGTCGTTGGATTTCCCTGGTATATTAGAGAGTAAGTAGAGACTGTATAATTATTGCAAGTAAGTCGGGTCAGCAGGAAAAATCAATGTTATGTAAAGAAGAAGATACAATCTTCCATACAATGCCCAGACCTTGAGTTTCACGCGAATATTAGTATACATTGCAAGGTGAGTTTTTATTGAACAATATCAAGGATATATTTTTCACACTTTGCTAGTGGAATAAGGATCAAAGCTAGATAATTGCAAATTTTCCTTGATTCGAAATCTACTATGAAAAAAACAACATTATCGATGTGTACTCGCATGAGCGCCTGTACAAAAATGGCGTCGGCTAGGTTAACTCTATAACGGAGAAATGAAATGGATGCCCTACCTGTAG